GCGCAGGGGTGGGAGAGATGGAAACGCCCTGAGAATCCAGAACAAGAGCAGGGAACCATGGCTGTGCCTTCCCCTTTCCATGCAGGGCTTTCATCCACAGCCCTCAACGCTCCAAAGCCACTGTCCTGCTGAGCGCTGCCCTGTGAGCCATAGGGATGTACTGTGGGGATGAGCTCACCCAAGCATGCTGTGAGCCACGGGGGGGTCTCACATGTGCACCCAGCCGTGGCTGGCACCCTGAGCCCCCCTTGTGCCCCCACACACTGCAAAGCACGTTCTGCTTCTCGCTGGAATGCTCACTTAAATATTGAAAGCAAAACAAGATGGGGAGGAAACCCCCAGCCAAGGATGCAGGATGTGCGAGGTCAGGGCTACCCCGACACTACGGGGACAGAGAATGGAGGAAAACACCCTGCAGCCCTGACACAGGGGAAAAATCTAGGGGGGCTGACAGGGGAAGGGATGCTCTGGCCACTGAAGTGCAGCCGCAGAGTGCTTTGGTGACACTGCTTTTCTGCGCTGCGCAGGGGTGCAGGGAGCAGCTGCGGTCAGCCCAGCACCACGAGCACCCAATGTCCCTCCCCAGCACCATGGGGGTGGAACACGTCACAGCACTGAAGAATGGCAGCCTCTCATCTTCTCCCCTGTGGGAGATGCAGTGGGCGACTCCAGGGCTGGGGGTGAACTTTGGGATCAGAGCTCAGCTCTGCATAACGGGCACAAATCCCACGTCGATTGGTCTCTGGCATACCACAGGGAGCTGTGCTGCTGCCTCAGTTTCTCCCCTTTGCTCAAAGCACAGCATCCCCAGAGGTGCTGCAGTGAGCCCAACCCAGGGAGACGCCTCCAGGAACCTCTGCCAGCAGCAATACAAATGTGAGCGGGGTCTGCATGTCCCCATGGTTCAAGCACAGCACTACGGGCTCCCCCCCAGGGGAGATTTTCACCCAGCTGAGCTGCTCTCAGCCCTCTTGTTGGCCAAACTGCCAGCACCAGCCTGTGCCAAGAGCCCTTTGTGCATTCAACAAGCACAGGAGCTTCAGTCCAAGCCACGCGGCTCCATCCCGCCTGCCCCAGGGCATTGTAGTGCACTGAGCCTGTCTGGTCCCCAGGGCACCCACCAAACCCCAGGACCTTCAGGATGGGGGCTCTGCCTCCCAAAGCTGGATGTGTGCCCCAGTCCCTCCCCCCAACACACAGCCTTAGGACCACCATCTCGCAACCACGTTTCCTTGAGAAGAGAAGCCTGGAGTACGACCAAGTCCTTTTGGGACTGCCCCAAATTTGGGTTTTCCAAAGTTTTCCAGCAGCATTTCCAACCCCAAGCGGCATGAAGCTTGTAGGCAGAGCTCATGGCAGCATCAGGAAGCACAATGCTGTGAACAGCACACCCCACATTTCTCAGCTCAGAGCACTTAACCACAAAACTGTCCTTCCTTCCTCTGCAGATACCCACCGATGTCACACAGATGTACACACAGTTTCTTGCACAGAAGCAAGTACGTGTAAAGTACTCAAGCAGTAGGAGTGCATGTAAAGAACTCAACTGCTGAACCCAACGTGGGGAGGGCAGCCCTAAATCCTGCAGCAAGCAAAGACCGGCGACGATGGGCAATGGAAATGAGGGGTGGAAAGCTGCTGAGCGTTGAGACACGCAGTGGAACAAGCACTGCTTGGGTGTTCCCAGCACCGTGTGGGTGTGCAGAGCCTCTCCTGCAGCCACGTCCCCATTTCGGGCCGGGTGGGAAAACAGCATGGGGAGAATCTGCGCTCAGCTCTGGATTAAGTCACCGTGGGGATGCAGTGCTCAGCCTCTGCACGAGGGGCTCGCAGCTGCATGGGCTCTCCAGGAAACTGCTGTGAAACTCGGTGTCTTCATGAGCTCAGCACCACCATCCCCGACACAGAGCTTGTGAGATGAGTGCTGCACGTGGTGACATTGGTGCTTTTGGAGCAAGGTGTGCTCCATTGGGGCTGGGATTGAGGCTCAGAGCCTGTTCTTGGTTTGCTTTGGGATTTTCCTGGATTTCTTCAGCTATTTCTACGCTTCCAGGCATCTTAAAAAGAAAATGGCACACACAGCCTTCAGCTCTGAGAGCCTTCAAGAGGAACCCAGCCCCTGCAGCCGGGCAGCAGGAGGTGCCATGCAGGTTCCCAGCTCCCCATTACCTGCCTTGGGGGAAGCCCTCAAAAGTAGGAGGAAAAAAAGAGGAGAAGAGGTTTCTCTGAGGGGTTTCACAACGCATCTCCCAGGCTCCCGATGCAACACTTCACCATGTTTCTAACTCAGGTCCCTTCTCTGCACTGCAGCCCCAAAACAGCACATCCATCCCTATGAGAACCAGGCCAAGACTAAGCAACCAAGAAGAGCTGCAGTGTTTGCAAAGGAAAAAAAGAAAGTTAAAATAATTGCTGCCTGTCAGTGAAACCTGGTGGATTTCACCAGTCCTGGAGGCGATAAATGGGCTTTATGAATCTTTCTGAGGACGGACCGAGCTCAGAGCCTTCTAAAAGGTGCTGAGGGGGTGGAGGGAAGGGGAGGTCGGCATTTTGGAGCAGTGATGTGTTACTGCTGGCCCTGAGCACAGAGTAGCTGTCATATTTAGAACTTTCTCCCTCCACCTTCCGACCCCGGGCTGCACAGGAAGAGGCACCATGGGCGCATTGGGGTGAGAAAACAGCCTGAGTTTGGGCTGATAGGTGGGCACAGACAGCATAAGAAACCAAAGCCATGAAAAAAGAATCCAATTTCTCCCCCATTTTCACACCGAAAACACATTTGAACGCTGATTCTTTGCTACCTTCCCCCCCCACGCACACTTTTTAATGCTTAAAATGGAGGTGAGGCACAGAAGAACTTCAGGGCACCGCATGTGGCACAACAGCACAGCCCTTCACCCCTCAGCACTGAACCTCTCCGGGACCCCACGGGCTTGCAGAGCATCCCCGGAACCTCACAGCCTTCCCCAAACCCCCCCCAGCTCCCCCAGTTACTCACTTTGAGCTGAGATTTGGACACTTTGCCGCTCTTCTCCACATCCAGAGCGGTGAAGGCGTACCAAATGGACTTGAGCAGCTCAGCTCGCAGGTCCATGGCTTCAAGCGGCGGTGACAGCGGCCGTTCTGTCAACGTTGTGAATCCGGTTTCAGGAAACCGATTGCACCGAGAGCCCCGAGCGGCTCCGGCCGTGCGCGGAGCAGCAGCGCCATCTGCGTGGGGCTGCGCTGCGCTCCGGGCACCGCTGCGCTCCCACCGCCGCCCCGGAGGAACGCAGAGATTGCGAGGAGCGCAGTGAGAGCGCACGGAGAAGGGACTGGCAGGGATTCGCGACCCTTTGCTGGCTCAGCTTCAGCGTTTGTGCCCACAAGAAGGAAAAGTTTCCTCCTTGCCTAAAATAGCAGCTTCCTCTTCTTGGGCTGAGATGGAGAGCTTCCCCCTCCTCCCCCCCGCAGCAGCAGGGGCTGTTGGAGAGGACGAGGCCCAAGGAAGGGGAGCAGGGCTGCAATGCGCTGCAGGTGGTGGGGATGGTTTGTCAAGGCCCACCCTTCCCCACAGAAACCTCTTCCTCTGCAGAAGCAAACTTCCGAAGTTCGTGGGGCAAATAAACACGTGACTGCTCACAGCCTCTGCTGCTGCTCTGTGCCGGCTTTGCCCTTGGATTTATGGGCACAGGTGCTGCCGTTACCCCTGCTGGGCAGAGGACGCCAGCCTAGCTCTGTCCCGAGAAAGATGTCCACTCACAGATGTATTTTCTTGTAGTAAGTGGCATCGCTCCCTAACCTGAAGTTTACAGGAGCCCTCAGAGCAGCCAAGCCCTGATGTGGGACTCGAAGCACTGCTTTTAAGCACCTGAGAAGCCACTTCTCACAGCCCTCAGCACAGTCCTGGGGTGATCACAGCTTTGGGAGAGCACTCAGTCAATTCAACAAAACCTCCTGCAGTGCCTTAACCCTGACATCTGGAAAATAATAGAAGCCAACCCCCTCTGCCATCCCCTGCTGCTCCACAGCACTGGGTCTGCCAACACAGTTTGCTCTGAGATTGGTATTAGATGGGAGAACTCCTGCCATGCACGCAGTGTGCATCCGTGGGGACACTGACTTCCAGCATCAGAACACTGCTGCCACTCCATCACCCAGCCCAGGGCCACCCTCTGATTGGGCTTTACTGCTTTGCTGCCCACTTGCTCATTAGGCAGAGGAGTTGGCAGAAATGAGGAATGCTGGACCATTTTTAAAGGAAGGGGACAGAAAATGCCTCTCCAAAAAAATTCTGCGTTCCTCGAGTTGAAATCTTTGTAGCTCCGTATCTGCTTCGTTAGACCAGCAAGGTCTTGGAGATCTTAGGCATGAAGTAAATAGAAGATACCCTGCCATCTCCTCCAGACTATTGGGAGGGGGGGGGGGCTGACGGATCAACACCTCAGGAGAGGGGGAAGGTAGAAAAGGGGAAAAAAACGTAGGAGGATGGGCCTAACAAAGCCAACACAGTGGCAATTAGCTAAGGGAGAAAAACTAATTTACTAAACATGATACTGTAATGCAAGATACTACAATATAATACAGTATAATTGGAATTGAGGATAAGAAGTAAAATAAAATTAGAAAGTCTGTCCAAAACCAAAGGCCTTACTCTAATGAAGGCGAGACAGCCAGGGAGCACACAATGCACAGATGAGCAGTAAAAGGGGAGGTGTCTCGACTTGCAAACAGTTTTATGTTTCCCTCTAAATGGAAAATGGGAACAGAACAGTGAAAATCTTCCAGGAGATGATCTTCTTCTGAGATGCTCTCTGGGAGATGTTATTCTCTTCTGAGAACCAGGTACCTGGAAATATCAGCAGTCCATGGAACAGCAGCCTTAACCTTAACTCCCAGCACACTACATGATATTATGATGTGGAATACCAATAATTTAAATCATAAAACAATGACAAGGGTCCACAGCAAGGAGCAGGAAAGCTGCTGCTCTGAGCCAAGGAAAACAGCAGAGCCTCCAGCAGAAGGTAGCAGCTGTCATAGACACTGCTCATGGAGGGAAGAGCCCTTCTGGCATGGCCACCCTGGCAGCCCAACACTGCCAGCACTGGCTCTCACTGCCTGTTTGCTGCACATCACAAGCCAGCTGCTCTCAGACTCCTTCCCTCACTCCTATACTGCACATCTTCCATGTGCCTGCTGGCCCAGATCCTGCAGATCCTGATGCACCCATGGAGGAACGGGCTTGGCTGTCTGCTCTTCCTGCCTGGGAGGCTCTGCAGGGTCTCAGCAGCCATTCTCAGCCATGGCTGTGTCCAGTGTTACAGGTTCATGCTGGATTGCTGCTGCCATCATACTGATGCTGTTCTCCAGGCTCTGCTGCTCTTCAAGCTAGGGAGAAAAGTCAGAGATAACACTGCCCTCCCAGAAAGTGTGCTCAGGAGGGTTGGCCTTGCCCCAGAGGACAGAGGTGTGAGGGACTGACTGGCAGTGGAGCAGAGCAGCAAAGCAGAGACACAGCTCTGACGGGGAAAGGCTGCTTATGAAGGAACATTCTGCAACCCAAGCAGGGCATCCATGTTCCCCTCCACATGCAAGGCACATGGGAGTTAAGGAGCAAGCAATCTAGGCAGGAGGAGATGCAAAGCAAGAGGCTGAAGTTGGTGAGTGGATGGGGTGTACACAGCAAAGGTGGCAGGAGCAATGCTCAGTGGTACCTGCACTGCAATGTGAGCACCATTGGTGGCTGCCAACATTGCCACCTGCCGATGGCAGAGGGATGTAATGGCTGACTCTTCAGACATGACTGGCCCAGAGGTGACTATGGTAACCTAGGAAAAGTTAAGACACAAGACAATTGTGTCATAAAAGAAAGTGGGATTCCCTCCCAGTAGGCAGTTCTTCTGCAGGGAAGAGGGAAGGCCTTGCTTCTGCCCATACCGGCTGTGTCTCGGTGCCATCAGTGTTGATCACAGTCATGGTGTGCATGTCACCACCCACGAACTCTTCCTCGGGCACTGTGAGGGCACTGTTTTGCATCACCATGCTGACTGCACTGCCCAGGGCCTGCAGGTCTTCCTGTGACAAGCTGATCTGGACAGGACAAAAGCAGATGCTCTCAGCCAGGCTGGCTTCTCAGGAAGCCTTATACAACACCTGATTTTAGCAACAGAAAGGCTAAAATATTCTCTCCTCCCTCACAGAATCATAGAATTGTGCAAGACCTAAGGCACAGAGAAACTGCAAGGACTTTGCCCGGGATCACAGACAGAATCAATGGAGCCCTCACAGATCCCTGGTCCCTCGCTCACCCCCTTCAACAAGACCTCCTTTTCCATTTAGCATCTTCTCTCTGGGCATAGCTCATGCAGGCAGCTCCTCATGCTAACAGGAAACAAACCTCACTCATGGCAGCTGCTTCCTCTGCCCCAAGCCACAGGTTTTCCCAATCAGCAGACAGGCAGCTCGTGCAGGGAAGTATGTGCAAGAAAAGCACTGCTGTTTACAAACTACGGAAAAACAATCTCCAAATCCAGCCTGTGTCAGCAAAGAGTGGGAACTGCTTTCTGACAGCTGTGCAGGAGGCGAGGGCTGGTGGCACAGCACATAAGCCCAGACAAATGCCTGCAAGACCCTGTCCAGCAAGGCAAGTGGTGACCAGAGGCCTGTGATTTACCCTTCACATCAAGGCTGCAGCAGTGGGATAGGACTGTAAGGGGGGAACCATCATGACAGACAGAGCCCCAGGGTCCCAGGGTCTGTTTTATACAGAAAAAAAAAGCCTTTTAGAGAAGACCAAGCTGAGATCTGGCCCCCAAGGGGACATCCTGTTTAGTGGCTTCAGGAAGTGCCTAAAGGGATATAGAAGAAGCTAGGGAGAGGCAGAACCTCACTCAGGTAACTGCTCTCCCTCAAGTGCTGGAGGCTGTTAATGTCCATACCTGCTCTGTCTCATCCTGAGAGATAAGTGAGACCTGTGTAGGCATACCATCATCATATTCCTCCTCATCCTTGTCTTTCTCCATCTCTGATGGGAAAGCAACATGCTGCCTCTTCATGGGGGAGCCTCCTTCAGCAGCAACTAAGTCAGGGAAAGCAAAGAGTGAAATAGGAGAGAGCAGGAAAGTGCATATCTGACCCCGGGTCATTGAAGGGCCAACAGAGAGGAGCAAAAGATCATAAGAACAGCCCAGTGTTAGCCTGGAGAGAAGGACCTTTGCGTCTCCCTGTACTACACAGCTGGATACAGTCCACTCTCAACTGATGACTACAGCTAGGAGGGAGAACTTTGCTCTTGGCTGTGACGTGAATCTGGGCTTTATGAGTGAGGTGGAAGCCACAGCACAGACTCAGGTCTGAAGGACAGCAGAAACACACCCTTGCTCCCTTGCTGCCATCTGTCTCCCCTCTGCCACATGGCATGACACACTGCAGGTGACGTGGAAGTGATTGCTCACCCTCCAGCTGCTGCTGGACTTCTTCGCTCTCCAGTGTAGATCTCTGGCTGTAGGCCTTCCCACAGATGTTGCAGGAGTAGGGCCTGCTGCGTGTGTGCACCACCTGGGGCTTGTAGAGGCTGGAGTACTCTGTGAAGCACTTCCCACAGCCCGGCACAGGGCAGGCGTAGGGCTTCTCCCCTAGGGCAGAGGCCACAGTGCAGAGCTTAACCCACTCGGCCTCATCATGCCCTGCAAAGAGATTCCCTAACAAGAGAGAACAGCTGAAGGCAGACCATCAGAACAATCAGCCCAATAAAGCAGTTCCTATTTCTTTTAATTACCTGGCCACCCTGAACACGATCATTTCAGTCCCAAAGATTTCCCAGCTGCCACACATCATCAGTGCAGGCTGGGGAGGAGCTGTTGGTCTTTTTACCTCCTCCCCTGCTTACCTGTGTGAGTTCTTAGTGGTTCTTGTAATTGGTGATGCTGGTGAAGCTCCTTCCACACCTGGGCTCTGGACAGGCGTAGGGACGCTCGCCTGTGTGTGTTCAGATGTGAGCCCTGAGGATGTGGGAGGTGGTGAAAGAGCGGCCGCAGGACTCAGACGGGCACTTGGAGGGATGCACCCCTGCAGTGACAGTAATGCTGATGGAGCCCTGCCAGAGCGCAGCCCTGTGAGCTCCTACACACCTCCACAGTACGACACCAGTGAGATCTCACATTGGCCCCAACCAAACGTACATTTCCCCCAGTAAAACCGGCACCCTTGTCCCTTTCACTGAGCTGTTAGCAACTGAGTTGAGAGTCCCAAGTGCTGCTTCTACTGCCCAACTACTTCCATCTGAAGACAACTTCAGCTCTGCCTTGCTTCACCCGAGATACAAGAGGCTGAAGCAGTACTTGATCTTGGAAGCCCTTTCAATGGGGAGCTCAGTTCTCTTATGGTGCTCACCTGTGTGCGTCCAGATGTGTTTCTGTAGATTGCCAGAAGCTCTGAAGGCTTTGCTACATGAGTCTTCTGGGCACTTGAATGGTTTCTCACTAACATGTATTTTCATGTGGGTCTTCTGCCCGTACGCTGCCCAGTAAAGAAACCACAACATTAATTTTACAATGAGAAGGAACTAAGATTGCAAGCTGTGTAACAGCTCTCAGATCACGCACACGTCTATCCTGTGCTCACAAAGCTGAAGGGGAAGAAATATCCAAAGAGCCTCACAACACCCCTGACTACTCAGCTTCTTCTTTTAGCTCCTTTAAGCTGTCTGTAATCAGTTCAGTCCTGAGCAGCCCCCCGTATTGCAATTCCTTATCAGAAGGCTGTGCTTACTGTGCTCTGCTGGAAAGAAGGGCTGATAGGTGATTTTGATAAGACTGAAGACAGAATTTTCACACGAGAGAAACTGTTACCTGTTGCAAATGAAGCGACATGCGTATGGCCGGTCACCTGTATGAGAACGTTCATGTACCTGGAAGAGAAAGCATGGGTCCTCCACGGTCCATGACAAAGGGGTTCCAACCTTGGTGATTCTATGACTCTATGGTAAGGAAAACAGCATGTGGAAATCTAGCAGCTGGAGAGAATCTCAAGTTCTCTGCTGGATTTCGTATTGGCCAGTTAACAAACCTCTTTCCTGGGACAAAGCCTCTTCTCAATGATACATTCCCACTTGATTTATTCCAAATTATGGATACTTCTTCCTGGTTCTTCAAGGTTAAAAGCATCTCCTTGAAGTCCTCAGAGAAAAACTCACTGCAGAATGATGCCTCAGTGCCAAAGGGTATCCTGACCTTTCTCTTGAAACACCTGACCTTTTCCAAAGGAGCATTTCCCTCTTCCTTTGTATAGGAACACTCTGATCTGGCACTAGAACATGCGGGCATACTTGGTCTGCACACCATGACTGCATGTTAGCTGCTTTACCTTCAGATGTTGGGCAGTGGTGTAGATGCGACCACAGCCTGCGTACCCACAGCGGTGTGCTTTATGGGCAGCTCGTATCCTCTTCTTGTTGCTGTGCACTTCCTGCTCCTGCAAATGCTGTCGAGCCAATGAGTGGAAATTAATTCAGCCAGCCACCACAGCAGCTGCCATGGAAGCCCATTCAAATTCTTTCTTTCCTTACCATTCATACACAGTCCTTCAGTTGTCCCCACAAAAGTGTGCTTCTACAAACACAGCTTGCACACTTATGGTGCAACACAGATTACAAAGCAGGGCTCTAGAAACCAGCATTTCCCATTCCTAGTTCACATTTCCTACCTTGGAAAACATCTGAGCTGTATCACAGCAGCTCTGCTTTCTCAAATCTGTGCCTGCAGAGTAAAAGGCCCAGCACTCTGTGGGTACTGGCTAGGTGCTGCAGAAGGAATCTGTCACTCTCCAGGCCCTTTTCAGCCACCTGTCAGTGGTGACACCCACAGAAGCCCTGACCAGCTTACCTTCCCAAAGTTGGCTCTACTCTGTGTATTACTTTGTGCACTTCTAATTTGTACATAAGTGCAACTTAAAGGAGACAAATTCCAGGTCAAATGTGAAATACCACAGTCCCTCAGTGCTGCTGGAAGACCATTAAGGAAACAATTGCATCTTCACTTTGTTGGCATACTGCTTTAATGCATTAATGGTCCTGACATCAAAGGCATCATCTTTCTCCTCTTGCCCTGTTTCTGCCTGCACTTCCACGATGGGGCTGTCAGGGAGCACGATGGCAGAATGGCTGTTGGTGGTGGAGCCACCCTCTGGCTGGACAGCCTCTGAAGTGCTGGAATCAAAACCTTCTGCAAGAGAAATAGACAAAATCAAACACAGCAGAGCTGCTGAGTGTAAATCACTCTTCACCTCCCCAGGCTACCTCCAGCCTTGGAAATCTGCAACACTTCAGCAGCTTTTGCCCCAGCTGCCAAGGAAAGAATGGGGAATATTCTTTACCTTTAGGTATGTAGGCCATACCCCTGTCTTCCCAAACTACTGGCTGACCATCTTCAAAAGCTACAAAATCTGAAAGAAGGAGAAAAAAAACTCCAAGCACATGACTGGAAGACTCAGATGGGATGGAGGGGCATTACTTCCTGAGCACTGCAGTGTTCATAGCCAGAGAAGCACACAGGGCAGGGCAGCCTGCTTGTGCTGAAAGTCAACCACAACTGTAGTTTTAAGACACCACCTGAGCCCCCATCCCTGTCCACGTCCAGGTTTTTAATGTTTTGTGAATAATTTTATGGCAGTCTTTGGCTCTTTGAGGTAATGCTCACCTCTTACACCATGTCCCAGATGTACGGCCATGGTGACATGGCTTCCAACAATCTCTACCCTCCCTCCTCAAAACATCTTCCCCCTCAAACATCTAATCCAGGAATAATATATTATCTCATGGTTCACAGAAACTCCTGTCCAACTGCTCCTAGGTAAAACAAAACGTGTTTGGGCTCTGCAGTCAGCAAAACCACAGCACACAGATTACTGGCCTGGCTTGTAGATTTGTTATCTATCAAACTGACAATATGTGTGAGTCCACAGGTGAAATGTCACAAGCTTTGCTTGCTGCACCGGCAAATTTAGCTTCTTGTCACATTGCTAAGAACTCTGCAGGAAACCACGTTCTTTGTCCTTGTTCATTCAGCTGGACAAGAAAACCCTATCTCAGATGGGCTCAAAGCTACAGCACAACTGTGAAGACACAGATGGCTTCAGTCCCACCAGCATCCTTCTAAAGAAAGGTGAATGTATGGTTCTCACCTTTCTGAACTACCACTGGATGGATGTACACTGTGTTTTCGTCTTCAGTTTCAGTGACTTGCTCTTCAATTACCTTTTCACCCGACACAGTTAAAAAGAATGCTATTAGCACTGCCCCCAAAGTCCACACTGCCTAATGAGCTGTCCCCTTCCTTTGTTGCACCTTCTCAAGGAATACAGCCATGCAGAAGGCAGAACTGTCATTTGAATGCTGCTGTTAATCAAGCTTTCCCTCAAACAGCCATAGAAGCACTTATCTCCCCAGAAAAGCTGGATCCTCCCTTTCCTAAGCAGGAGGGTAAAAGGCAAAGAATCTCAGTTATCACTTATTTACAATCACTTGTTTGAAGCAGAAAGAACAACGTGTGCAAAGTACTTTGGCTTTAAAATAGAAAGCAATTACATTCTGCTGGTGAAAACTCAATTGGGAGCTTTTAATGGCACCAGCAGGGCCAAGTTTTCTTCAACTTGGTTGGGGATCAACACTTGAAAAAGTTTTGGCTTGAAAAGATCCAAAGCATTACTTGCTTTGATGAGCTGTGAAGAGTGGACTCTTAAAAATAGTGAAAGTATGACTTATTCTGCAACAATATTTCAGTTACTTAATTATTTGATGCAGAGAGGATGTTGCTCCATCCTCCTCAAACTTAAATTGCTTTCAACTCATGCAGTGTTTGCAGGGAGAAGTCACAAAACCTAGTGGTTTTCAGCTTCACAAATTTAATAAACTTGCAGTGAGTTTACACAGAAAAGTAAGTGAAACAGCAATGACCAGGAGATGGAACTCTTGCAGAGCGCACTCTGTAGGCTGGGAGGTGGCACAGTGCTTGGGAAAAGCAGGTGGTGAAGAAAGGAGCACGCCCTCCAGCACACCCCAGAAAAAGGACAAGAGTTGAATTTGGCACTGATATTGCATTTTAACCAACACTGAGCTCAGCACCCTTTTGAGTGAGAAAAGCTTTATTGGGTCAAACTTCAGTGAGATCAAACATTCTGCTTAGCTTCAGGGGAAGTTTTGGCCACAGAACATACAGGGAACTCCATTTTTCCAGTCTGGACAGAACCTTCATTTTCTACTGCAACAGCTCTCCTATCACCAAAGCTTTATTTCTGAAGCAGAGATGTTTTATTCATGGATGCATCTCCTATGTGAGGAAAGGCTGAGAGACCTGAGGCCTTTCAACCTGGAGAAGGCTGAGAGGTGACCTCAATGTTTGCAAAGATCTGAAGTGCAGAAGTCAGGATAGGGCTGGGCTCTTTGCAGCAACAGGACGAGGGGCAGTGGGCAAAAACTGCAACGCAGAAAGTTCCATACAAATGTGCAAAAGAACTTCTTCACTGGGAGGGCGACGGAGCATTGGAACAGGCTGTGGAGTCATCTTCTCTGCAGACGTTTTGAGACCTGTCTGGATGCTTTCCTGTGCAACCAGCTGTCAGGAACCTCCTTTAGCAGAGAGGTTGGACTCAATCTCCAGAGGCCCCTTCCAACCTCTCTGATTCCTGCACAGTCTTCTGTGCCAATCTAAGTCGGAAGCATCCTATACAAGATCCACGGCGATCTGCACGCCTTATCTCCAACCTCATGGGGTTGTGAAGAGACTTTGAGACCTCACAGCCCAAAGACTCCTTTACCTTTGGCAACCTGCTGCTCGGAGGCTGTTGTCCCATCGCTAAGGGTCACTGCCTGCAAGCTCTCCATCACGGCCTGGCAGCCTCACACACGACCCTCACACACAACGCGCCGCCGCCACAGCCGCTCCCCGCGCAATATCCAGGTTCTGGGGACTCTTTCCGGAAGTTGTAGAGAGGCCGGGTTCAGACACGTGAGCTCTCCCGGCTCCCTTCCGCCACTTCCTGACCTCACTGCCACACCGCGCCACTCCCAGCATGGCGCTGAGGAAAGCTCGCGAGATCTCAGCCGTACTTATAGCGCGCCTGTCGCCCCGCCCCGCCCTCTCCGCCTGAACCGCCGCCATGAGGTGGGTGTCGGAGCGCGGCGTTATCCGTCGCCATCCGCGGCCCGGCCGCCGGGCAGGGTGTGGGTCACCGGGTCCGGTGGCGGGGAAGGGGCGGGCGGTGGGGGAGAGCGCGGATGGAGTTCGGGCCGGGCTGGGTTTCGGTGTTCGGGCCCGGTCCCCGCTCCGCGGCCTGTGTTGGGCCCGCGCCTGAGCCTGTCTTCTGTTTCCCCCCGCAGCAGCAAAGTGTCCCGCGACACGCTGTACGAGGCGGTGAAGGAGGTGCTGCAGGGCAGCAAGACCAAGAAGCGCAAGTACGAGCCCTGCCCTGTGCCCGGCTGAGGCCTCGCGCCCCGTGCGGGGCCTGACCTGGACTCTTCCCTCAGGTTTGTGGAGACGGTGGAGCTGCAGATCAGCCTGAAGAATTACGACCCGCAGAAAGACAAGCGGTTCTCCGGCACCGTCAGGTTCGGCATCCTCTTGCTCACACCCAGCCTTCAGCCCGCGGCCCTCAGCCGAGGGTGGCTTCCCTGCTGCAGGCCGTGCTGCTGAATGCCCCGGGTAGTTCAGACTGTCACCCCCGAGCGGGTGCGGCTGGACGGACCCCCACCCTGGGTCTTAAAACAAGAGGGGAGGTGTGGGGTGCTGCCCCCGCCGCCCTGCCCCAGAGGCAGGTTCTGAGCGTGGAGGAAGATGTGAGGAGCTGCGGTAAGGTATCTGCACGCGGGTCCCTCTGAGCTGCGTGGCATCATTGGCACACCGGGTAATTTGGGCTCTGTCTGCAGGCTGAAGTCGACCCCACGGCCCAAATTCTCTGTCTGCTTGCTGGGGGACCAGCAGCACTGCGATGAGGCCAAAGCGGTGGAAATCCCTCACATGGACATAGAGGCTCTGAAGAAGCTCAACAAAAATAAGAAGCTGGTGAAGAAGCTGGGTGAGCGGGGTGTGGGTTGGTCTCTGGATGCCATGGCTGAGCCTGTGACAGCAGGTTTCCCCATGCTCACATTCCCATGTCAGGATTAGCTGCAGAGAACAGAAAACTGATTACTCTTGAAGAGTAGGATTCTGTCTAGGAGCTACCTAGCAAACCTTAGGGCCTCGTACAGTGTGAAATGCCTGGCAGGGCAGTGCTGTAGGAGTGCAATGATTGCCCTCTTCCAGGAGGAGGGGATACAGGAGAGCTGTTCCATCTCCTTGAGAAGTTGTCTTCCCTCCCTCAGCATGCCATGACTTTCAGGGAAAGAAAGTGCAATAAAGCCAAGTAGAATTAGAGGTGAAACTTGCTCTAATCCTGCCATACTGCAATGAACAGGATGGAGTTGGGTTACTTATAGCAGATAAAACCTTTCCTACAGAATGAAAGTCATTTTGATAAGTATCTTGAGCAGACAAGGAAAGCTTACCATTCAGTCCTTGGAAGCATGGGAGGTTGGAAAACAATGTAGGATATGGTTACTGTAACCTAAGCCTCTCTCAGGTCTGTGGCATCATAGAATCATCATCATGGGAATGGCCTGGGTTGAAAAGGACCACAATGATCACCTTGTTTCAACCCCCTGCTGTGTGCAGGGTCACCAACCACCAAACCAGGCTGTCCAGAGCCACATCCAGCCTGGCCTTGAATGCCTGCAGGGATGGGGCATCCACACTCTTCACATATGAACAGAATACAGAAGGAGAATTCTAGTAGAGCTCCAAGTGTCCGTAATGCAGCTGGATAAATGCTGTGCATTTCAGGGAAGTCCTCTGTGTACAGTTAATGGGATTGCTGCCAGGATGTCAGGCTCTGAGTCCTGGAGGAGTTTGGCCGGTGTGACAAGAATGGCTTATAATGCAGTATGAGGGAAAAGGCAGGGCTTTGGAACGTGGAAATGTTTGCACAGGGGGACGTGCAGCAGTACAGTCTCACCCGAGCTGTTGGTTTCAAGCTCTGGGTTAGAGCTGAGAGCCCTTCCTTACCTCCTTTTGTTCTCACAGCTAAGAAGTACGATGCCTTCCTGGCTTCAGAGTCCTTGATCAAGCAGATTCCTCGAATCCTGGGTCCAGGTCTGAACAAAGCTGGCAAATTCCCTTCTCTCCTCACTCACAATGAGAACCTGGTGGCCAAGGTTGATGAGGTCAAATCTACCATCAAGTTTCAGATGAAGAAGGTAAAGAGCTCAGGGCTTCCAGTTGGCAGCCGCTTACCTGGGGGGCGGTGGGTGATTGGTGTCCCTTGGTTGTGGCTGCGATCCCTGGGCTGGTCTGTAGGTGTCCCCCAGTGTCTTCAGCAGCTCCTGGTGAGGAGCATCCAGCGTTGTGCTGGGCAGCAGAGCAGCGCAGTCACCATTCAGCTAACTGGAAAAGAACAATTGATCTGCGGTTAGAAGAGCTTAGAAAAGCAATGAGGAGATGATGCTGATGTCTGAGCGCTGAGCACAATTGGTGACAATTAACACCTCCAGGAAGTGGGTGACTGCAGGGTGCGGCTCTGGAGCCGGGCGCCCGGGTGGCTTTGTGCTCACTGCTGTGCTTTGGCAGAAGCACATTTGGGACTTGACTCTGCAAGTGAACTTTGCAGCAGCTCTGTGGATGTCTGCGCCTGTCGAGAGATGTCGAGGCAAGCCAGCGCCCTCAAACCAAAATAACCCTGCTCAGGCATTTTAATCTTGTGACAGTGGTCTAGATGTGACTCCTGGGTATTATTCAGAATTAGCAGCTCTGCTAGCTGAGGTGCATCCTCAGACGCCAGCTGATGTGAGCCTGAAGGCACAGCTGGGAGGACGCAGTAAATGCAATAGTTTGCAAATGCTTCAGCATTTAAAGTAACAGAGCTAATGATGTCCTGACGCTTCTCTCGTCAGTTTGCTCGTAAATCCTTTTGTCTTCAGCCCGTGGGGAACATTGACTTAAAAGCTCCTCTGCAAGGCTAGCAGGCAGAGGCTTGGCCCATGTGTATTATGTGCAGAAAGAAAGGGCTGGTGGCTGGTGCCAAAACAAAAAGTGAAGCTGGCGCCATGCGTAGCAGTGAAGTTTGGAGCTGATAGGCTGTGCTGCTGGGTTAGCAGTGTGCAGGAAACATGCCAGCGCTGCCTGGTGAGTCAGGCATGGGATTAGTTACACGAGAGCTCTGCTGCTTCCCTACCAGCTCAGAGCGGCGCTTTGCACGTCCCTCCCAGCTTCCCCAGCTTCAGGAGATGGCTGCTTGCTGCCTTCACTGAGCCACCTTTGCGCTGTGAGGAAGCCAGACCTGTGCCAGCTGTTGCTCAGATTGCACCCAGATGCTGCCAGACATCCATGGGAGCCACGTGCCAGACAGCGAGCTCTGTAGAAGCACTTTGCCATGGATAGGCTGGAGAAGTTAGCTGCAGGGACAGGCCGTGGGGTGGGGATCCCTGGGTGCTCTGGTTCTTCTGTCAGCCCGCCCATAGGTGACCGTGGTGTCCTTGTCCCCAGGTGCTCTGTCTGGCTGTGGCTGTCGGTCACGTGAAGATGACAGAGGATGAACTTGTCTACAACATCCACCTGGCCATCAACTTCCTGGTGTCCTTGCTGAAGAAGAACTGGCAGAACGTGCGTGCTTTGTATATCAAGAGCACCATGGGGAAGCCCCAGCGTCTGTACTAACTGGGTGGCAATAAACTTTTAGGACATCTTACAGCTGTGTGGTTGCATTCCTCCAAAGCTTATTGGGCAAGACTTTCTGAAGAGCTGCTCGCTTCCTTGCAGTGAGGAAGGTTTTAAATGCTGTTAAATTGAAAGAGGCGTGAATTCAGGGGAAGCATCAGCCTTACATTTGCGTTTGAGCTTCCTGAGTCACACAAGCTGATTTCTTGTGAAGTAGACAAGCTTGTCACCCTGCATTCCGAGCAGGAGGGGGGGAACCACTCAGCAGCTAGCGCAAGCAAAATTGGGGTGCTTACCTCAAAACTAAGGAAGGGCTCAGTGCCCAAAACAGCTCCTGCACACAGCAGTCATCTTACAGCCCAGGGCTCCCTTCTACCATCCCAGGAACAGCATCCTGCCAGCTCTCAGGGTGGGGGTTTATGGGGCATTTGCATTTTATAGAGTTCTGCTGCCCTTGAGGTGACCAATGGCTGCAGGAGGGGCTGCACAGCAGCAGCTCATGAAGACTTGATGGGTCTTTCAGCTGGCTCCAATTACATCAGGATTTGGAAGGTGCTGGGGGTAAGAGGGGGGAGTTGCAGCTCAGTGAGGGGTTCGTTGGCTCTGCTTTGCTCTGCAGAGAAGCATGTAGTAGTTGCTGTTCAACTCAATGTTCTGGGCTAAAAGATATGTTGCATCTAATTAATGTATATAAATAAATGCATTGTGTAATGACTGCAGAGCCTATGGAAATCTGTAGGATTTAAGCTGGAAGCAAAGCTCTACGCCCTCAAAAAGAGCTTGTCTGAGCATCTGAAGAACAAAACAATGAAAATAGCTTTGGACCCCGCTGTTAGAAACCTTTTAAAACAAGCAGCAGAGCCAGCTTCTGAAAGATCAACACAACACCAAGAAATTCCATTTAATAATTAAAAAAAGACAATACAAAATGCAAACATTTCTTTTTACAAAGTTCAGATACATTTTTCTTTTTCTCTTTAATCAAGTGCAAATAACTTTATGAACTACATCTTTCTCATCAATCACTTTGCTGGAGATGGTAAAACGGCCTGCTGCAAAAGGCAGATATAAATATTCCAACATGAAAAAAAGAATCCCCTCCCCCCCAAAAAAAAATACACACAACAACCCTTATATTTACGTTCACCTCGTTGAAACATTCAATACATCTGAGAGGTGGCTGATGGTTTTCAGCCCTTCAAACCTTTTCTGAGTCATCTGATGGGTGCAGGTAAGAGAAAGGGCCGCTGCTTTCTGGTGGGCTTTTCTGGGGGATTCTTTGAGGATATTGGGGGGGGGGGGGTGTTGCCACATCTCTGTCCTTTACAGGAGGACACGCAGCCCAGCTCGCCTTCCAGCACAGCCCTGGCGGAGCAGAGGTGCCCGGCTGGGGACGTGTGGCACCCAGGACATCCCCCAGTTCCCAGATCCACCCTCCCAGGCTCAGAGCAGCAGCAGCAGCTCCCAAATTCAATCACAGAGATTCAAAGAGCTCTGCGTTGCACCGGGGCCACCGCAGCGCATTTCTGGGCTGCCTTTTTCTTTTTTTTCTTGTAAATCCGAAAAACCCTTTTGGTGGTCATTGCTCTGCTGTGGCTGCCCCAGAGCGATTCAAAAACACAACAAAAAACCAACCCTCCGAATCCCTACGACGGCTTTTGTGCATCAAAGCAGCTGCTCTCAGACACCAAACCGAGCGACAAACAGCTCAGCCCCCACAGCTGCTTCCAGCCAGGCTGCGAGCCGGGCGGCAGGAGGGAGAAGCCCACAGCTGTGATGAATCAGTGCAGCCTTTTCCAACCCCCCACATCTCGGGGACGCATCCCTGCACATCGGAACCCGGCCCGCCGCCCCAGCAGAGCCCAGTTGTTGGGGTGAGCGAGCAGCACAGATTGAGGGGGGCACGGACCAACCCAGGGCTCTGCCTGGGCCATCAAGGGGATCCATGGAGCAATTTCTCTCCCAGGATGGGAGGAGTGGGCGCAGCGGGACGGAGCAGCACAAGCCAAGGAGCTCAACCAGCCCGAAACCCTACAGCACCGACCCTGCCCAGCATTACAGACAGCCCCAGTGAAGGGGATGGATCCACTGTGAGTGGACAGAAGTGCCTTAATACCCAGTAAAACTCACCCCATCATGGCCAAGCCTCACTTTCCTGCAGAGGAGATGTGCAGCCTTCCACCAAAGCAGGTTGCTACAGGGAAAACATGCAGCAGAAAAGGTTCCAAGGCCAGAAAACACCATTGCATTTGTCACCAGCAGCCCAGGGCTGGGCTTGGTTTGTTGGTCAGTTGTTTTGTTCTTTTTTGTGACAGACACACATTCTCATTTCTCAGGCAGGTATAAATATTGTAGTTTCTAGTAGAAAAAAAAACAAAAAAACACAAACAACTTCCCTCTAAATAATATAAAGAAGACTCAAATGATTGCACTTAATACATATGAAAAAGGTAGAAAGGAGGATATCCTAGTGCACAAACGTTGACTCCTGCTCTTCACAAAGCTTGCTTTCTGTCGACGAGTTACTCTTTGGCAGAGCTTGGAAGGAAGTCTGGTTCCTTGGCACAAATGTCCGCGGGGGGGGAGGGAAGAACGCGCCCGGCTGAAGTCCTCCTTGGTCGCTCCATCTCTCCCATGCAGCCACACGTTGTTCTCCATGCCTTCCTCCAATGCCAGGTGCCAGCACGGCTCTCCAGCAGGACGGCCACCAGTGCCACCGTGCTGTCCCATTCTGTCCTTTCTTTTGTCCTTACTGTGGTTCACTGCGGTTGGTTTCGTTTTCTTCCCCCCCCCTCCAGCCCTCCAGGCTCCTCTGCAAAGCTGTGCTGATAGCTGAGCTCCGTGCGCTGCGCAGAACGCGGCGCCACCTCTGGTGCTGCCCTGGGATGGGGCAGGAGATGTGCCCTGGGGGGGCTGCTGGTGCCTGGATGGCATCAAGGGGCGGGACAGAGCCGGCACAGAGGTGGGAAGGAAACGGACGGGGTGAAGAAGCTGCTGCAGAAGAGAGGAATGGCATTGCTGGGTGAGATCAAGGTGAGACCGGAGCTTTGTGTGGGACGGGAGGCGGCGGTCCTGCCGGAGCCAGGCAGGAGGAAGGAGGAAAATTGAAATAAGAAGAGAGGGAGGAGAAGGTTTCCTTGGTGGCCGGGCGGCCCGGTGTGTCAGGGCGCTATTTGTAGGGCCGCAGGAAGCTGGAGACTTTGGAGCGGAGCAGCTTGATGAAGGAGCGGGGCAGCATCTCCTTGTGCTTCTCCGTGTACTTGAAGTAGTTCTGGGGGTGTGCCAGCACGTCGAAGAACGCTTTGATCAGCTTCTTGTCCTGGAGTTAAGCAAAGCTGATGTCAGCCCCAATACTGGGCCCAGCACACAGCTGCTTCAGCCCCACAACACCCCCAGCACAGCTCCAAACCCGAGTGATGCACCGTGCTCACCCCAGCAGCACCAGGCAGTGGAGCTGATCGGGGCAGTGCTCACCTTGAGGATCTCCTGGTGGTTTTCGGAGGCGTACAGCCTGCCGTCCCGCACGATGTCCTCCACCAGCTGCTCATAGTCCTCTGCAACAGCCAAGTGAGAAACCAGCTCAGGGCATCCTCCCCAAACCCAGAGTCTCAATCTCTGGCACCGAGCTCCCCAGTGTGTGGGAGACTCGACCTGGGCTCCTGGGGGAGCAGAGCAGGCAGCACCAGGCTGGGATGCCGTCGCCCCGTGCTTACCATCATAGGTGACATAGGGGATCTGGAAGCCTCGGGCGCTGTTGGCCTCGCTGGTTTTGAAGTTGATCCAGAGTTTGCGAGAGCGGGCGGTGAAGGCGATGGGTCTCTCGTAGGTCTGGCACGTCTCATAGGTGGTGATGGAAGATGGGGAGGCTGTGGGGGGACAGTGAGGGACTGAGTGATGACCCCCACCTCACTGTGCTGGAATGCTTAAAGGGGACACCAGGGATGGGGCTTGTCTGTGGGCAGTGAGGCTGACCCCCCCAGTCCGTGTTTACTAGCAGGGGCAGTGACATTCCCTCCTTAGAATGGAAACAATTCCTTCCTTCCAAGGTTTTGAGGATTGCTGAAAAGCTTGTAAACGGCCCTCATTCCATGCACATCCCTGCAAAGCAGCAAGGCAGCACAGCAGCAGCACGATGCTGACATCCCTCCAACAACCTTTCCATCGCATAAACCCACCCCACTGCCTCGCAGGGACCGGCCATTCTCCCTTGGCATTCATCAGCTCTGCTCTGCTCTGTCCTCCCCCAGCTCCTCCCGTAAGCACCGCACCATGCTCTGTTACCTACAGTTTTTCCGCATCACCAAGACGTCCCCGCACTCATCCTCAGAGGGCAGGAAGATCTCCGGCACCACGATGAGGATCTTTCTCTTGGGCGGTGGGTTGATGTTCCATGTGCACTCGACGTTGGCAGGGTAATTCCCCGGGTAGTTGGGGGACTCAATGTAACCCGTGTACTCGCCCAGCTCGCCTCCGCACTGCCGATCTGCAAAGCAGGAGAGGGGCAGATGGACTGGGAACTGGTGGTACAGAGAGACAAAAAGCTGGTAGCACAAAGGAGACAGATGGGCTGGAAACTGGTGGCAAAGGACTGGAAAACGTGGCACAGAGGGCACAGAGGGATTGGAAATTGGTGGCATGGAAGGACTGGAAAATACGGCACAGAGGGACTGGAAGCTGGTGGCACAGAGGGCAGAGAGAGACTGGTGGCACAGAGGGACTGGAAACTTGTGGCAGAGAGGGCATAGAAGGATTGGAAGCTGTTGGCTCAGAAGGACTGGAAACTGATGGCACAGAGAGTCAAGAAACTGGTGGCGATGGACTGGAAACTGGTGGCACAGAGGGATGGGAAATTGGTGGCACAGAGAGAAGAAATCGGTGGCATAAAGGATACAAAAGGACTGGAAATGTTATCACAGAGGGACTGGAAAATGTTGGCATGGAGAGACTGGAAACTGGTGGCACAGAGGGATGGGAAACTGGTGTCAAAGGCACTGGGACTGCAGAGCTTTATGGGCTGGTGTGGGTGTCTTTATCAGCACCACTCCATGCACACCCAGCCACACAAAGCACAGCAATGACCGACCGCGCTGTTTTGAGGGACCTGGGGGTGGTTCTGGGGAAGGAGTCCCACTCACACCACATCACACCCACTGCCCACCTACTTTTGCACTGGGACACAGAGGTGGAGCCGTCGAAGTCGGTGGTGGTGTTTCCAGGACAGGCAATGCAGTAGTTCTGCCTGAAGTCAGGCTGGTAGGTGCCCACGGCGCAGCGGATGCAGCGGTGGACGCTGGTGTTGTAGTAGTGCCCGGGTGAGCACTGGACTGGGGGAACAGAGAGCAAACAGAGCTCCGTCACTGCTGGCACAGCCCCAGTGGGTCCCTCCCGCCCTGCACCAAATGGAACAAACCTTTGGTGTCACAGTCCTGGAAGGAGAGGGCTCCCTCGTGCCGGGTTGTCAGCCCCCCGCCGCAGGGGAAGCAGAGCGCCCGCCCCACCTCAGGCTGGTAGGAGCCACGTGGGCACGGCTGGCAGGGCTTGAAGCCGTCGGCGGAATGCTGCCCAGGGGGGCACTGACCTGTGGGCACAGCCATTGCTGGGAACGCAGCCCACAGAGTGCCCCGTGCCCGGCTCCCTGCCCCTCCAGCTGAACAAATGGGATGGAGGTCCTTCTAAATGCTGTTCCCGTGGCCAAACGGGCAATTCCCAGAGGTGCTCAGAGCTTTTGCCTCTTCTAGATGGGGACTGATGGTGGAGCATCGGGGTTGGTGTGTGGATGCCCCCTCCCTGGTCCCCTCTGCTCCCCCCTACCTGTGCAGCCGGTGATGTTGGTGGCTCCCACGGGGCCGAACGCATCGCTGCGGGGACACAGGTCACAGGAGAGCTGCCCTTCCTTCTCCTGGTAGGTGCCAGAGGGGCAGGGGACGCACTGCTCCGTCTGCCCGTGGTAATAGGTTCCCTGCGAGCAGCTAACTGAGAGCCAGGGCTGGAGGTCAGTGGCATGCTGGGGGGCTGTCCCCAACGGGGGGGACACATCAGCTCCCATCCCAGGGCCTTGCACTGCTGCCTTACCACACTTGGTGCCCAGGCGCTGCTGGCCCGGCCCGCAGCTCTCCTGCCGTTCTGGGGCCACGCTCAGCTTCCTTGCCACCTCGTACTCCATCCCAGCAAAGCGCAGCAGGAACCGCTCCTGGTTGATGGATTTCTTCAGGGCTTTGATGGCCGATTTGAGCTTTTTCTCCACTTTCTGTCGCAAGCAGTGCAGGTTGCAGCTGGCTGGGTTTTGAGGGTGGGGGAGCAGAGAAAACAGCGATAAGAGAACAGAGAAACCCAACAGAATTCTCTCCTTGTGCAGAGCGCTGCTGTGGGCTCTGCTGGATGCCCAGCCAGCACCGGATGAGGACCATCCCAGCTCTCCTTGCTGCATGGGGCACCACGGGATGCCACCCAGCCCACCTGTGGTCTCCTCCGGTTTGATCTCCGCCTCGAACTCCAGTGTGATGCGCGTCACCTCCTTGCCGGAGGAGTTTCGAGCCCGGCGGCCCTTCCCCTTCTTGGATGAGTCACACTTGAGGTTGACAAAGGCCACCTGGCAGTCGGAGCAGGGTGCAGCACCGCCTGCACGCAGGGTGACAATCGGCACCTGCCCCTCTGTGGTGGGACGAGCATCCCCCCACCCCTGCTCACCCTGTGCTCCAGCCTTTCCCGCCTCGTCCTGCTTGCTCTTTGCCCGTGGGTGCAGGTGGCACTTGGCATCCTTGATCTTGAAGGAAGCCTTCTGCTTGATTGGGGCAGCGACAGTCTCTAAAAGAAAAGGCGGGTGCTGAACCCGTGGGTGAGGGGCAGCACGGGGTCAGGGGGATGGGTGCCCACAGCCCCTTACCGAGGCACTGCTGGCTGCTGTTGGCTGCTCTGTGCTGGCTGCCCTGACGCAGCACCGGCGTCCCGCAGCTCACCGTGTAGCTGCTGTCGGACTCTGTTGGAAGGAGGTGCAGGTGTCAGTGTGCTGCTGAGCCCCTGGTGCAACACCTTGTGCCCCAGGAGCAGCCGTGCAGAGACCCCAGGGTGCAGCGCCCAGCACTGCACCGACTCTGTGCTGCATGAACCCATCCCAGAAAAACATTGCTCCTTTGCACCCTGAGGGCACTGCAGCTCTTCTGCCCCTGCTTTGGGCCATGCAGGGGATGGGGACCCTCCTCTCCCCCCTGTACCTGGCTGGAAACGAGCCTTGGAGGAGCAGGTGAGGGCACAGCTGTCCTTCTTGCCCGTCTTGTTGCAGGTGAGAGTGGCCCGTGGTGGAACTGAACCTGCCAGGCATTTCACCAGCTCTGAGGGACATGCACCAGCTGGTGGGGACAAGTGGGGACACCTATGGCTGGCACAGAGCAGAGACCACGGCCCACCCACCCAGTTGGGAGAAGGGTGCAGTGTGGGGATCCCAGAGCAGCATCTTAACCCTCCCCCCACCCAAAGCTCCTTGCGCTGTGACTGCTGAGATTTCTGAATTTGGGGGGCAGAACTGCCCTTGGCTCTATCTGTCCCCAATGAAAGGGGTCAGTTGGGTACCAGAGCACGGCCAGGGCCATGAAAACTGCTCCTTTAGGGGCACAGCCAGTGCAAAAGCTCACAGCCAGCCCTAGGCATGGTCTAAGATACAATGAGGTGACCCAGGGCAAGGGGGGCAGTGCAACATCCATCCCATCCCATCCCATCCCGTCCCGTCCTGTCCCGTCCCGTCCCATCCTGTTCCATCCAATCCCATTCCATCATCCCATCCTGACCCACATGAGATGAGTCGCAGACCAAAGCAACTCATCTTGCAGCAGCCTTCAATTGGACTCCCCAAATCCCAGAGCTCCACCCACCCCCATCTTGCTCCTTACAGTCCCAGATGATGGTTGGGGCCATGGCCCCCCTGGGCTATGCTGGAGCAGGTCTGGACTGGACGTACCTATGCAATCTTTTTTGTTCCAGTGCAGCTTGCAGCCCGCAGGACAGGTACACTGGTAGCTGCCAGGCGTGTTGATGCAGCCAAATTTGCAGCCCCCACGGTTGATGCTGCATTCATCAACATCTATGGGAACAGAGGGCAAAGTTGGGGGCAGTGGGACCCCCCAGCTCTGATAATGAACCATCTCAAGGATGTGATTTTGGCCAGATAAATGGCACAAAACACAGAACACCAGCGGGGTTCTTGCATCCCGGGGGGGCAGGGTTGGAGCAGGCTGCTCTGGGAGCAATGGGGCACGTGTGGCACAAGTAAGGTCACCCCCCACTGCCACAACACACTCTTGCACCCCCCTCTGCATGTTTTATCTGCATCCTGGGGCGCTGCACGCCCCCGCCTCATGAAACTTAAATCAACCCCTTTTGATGTTCCCCTTCCCACCCCATCCCATCTTGCTGCCAACAACGCCGGGGATTTCTCTCCCTCTCTCCCTGCAGACAAGTTACAAATTGTTCCTGTTGCTGCGTTTGAAGTTGCAGACACCAATGTCTGGCTGTGTGTGCTCTCCCTGCACGGCCCCAGCATGGGGTGCACGGTGGGGACATGGGACACTGCCACCCAGACCCTGGGGACAGCCCTGGGGCTGCCCCATTTCTGGGTGCCCTGAGTGCTCCCCAGGACCCAAACACAGGGGGGTCTCACTGCCAGCCCCCAGCTGGCCCTACCTCCACAGTGGGTGAGCCCATATAGCGTGTAGCCCTTGTTGCAGAGGCACTGGAAACTCCCAGGGGTGTTGATGCAGAGGTGGTCGCAGGTCCGGTCGAAGGAGCACTCGTCGATATCTGGGGGGAGGTGAAAAAGCGAGGCAGGGAGGTGAGGATCAGCCCGCTCCTCCTTCTTGTGGTGCAAACCAGGGGGTGCACCAGGATGCTCTGGGACCCCATGCTGGGATGCTCTACGGCCGTGTCCCACCTTCTCTGCTCCAAACTCCTCGCACGTTCCATTTGCAGCCAGAGTAGCCCACCACCACTCCTCCCACCCCAAGTGCAGCCTGCAGATGTGCCAAACGGTGCCCTTGGTGCGGTGCCCCACTGCTGCCCTGCACACAGGAGGTGCTGCACAGGCAGGTCCTGCCTTGGGGCCGCTGCCAGCACCGTCTGTGCAGCCCTGCAGGGCACCTGGCTGGGGCTGGGCGGCCCTGCGTGCACAGGTGAGCCCGGCCCAGAGGGTTTGATCATCATTTCGTTGGCCTCATTAAGTTAATTGCCACGCTCGCATCAAGCTTGTAAGAGCGTAGAACCTGGATGGAGATGAAAGCGGTCGCAGCCCTGGAGCATCAGCTCCCCCCCACCCCATCGCTCCCAGACCCCGCGATTCTGGGGAGGCTGCAGCTGAGGCTGAGTGCTGCCTGTGGCTCTGGGGGGGGATTCCCGATTCCCGTGGCCCCCAAATGGCCCAACAGCACCTGGCTGGGTGCTGAGCTGGAGGCACTGCCTGGAGAAGCTACAGGAGAGGTTGGGACAGGGGGCAGGGAGAGGTGACAGCCGCGTCCCCGCGCTGCCCTCACCTTGGCAGTTCCTCTCGTTGATGAGCAGCTTGTAGCCCTTCTTGCAGCTGCACTCGAAGCTGCCCACCGTGTTCCTGCAGATGTGGTCGCAGCCGCCGTTGTTGAGCCGGCACTCGTCGATGTCTGGGGAGGGGGGTGGGGGGAGGACAGGGACATGCGTGCTGTGCTGCTCATCCCCAGCCCTCCCGGCTCTGCTTTTATATTCTTTTCCCCTCTCCCAACTAATTGCACAATTTACTGCTTGGAAAGGACCTGTGAAATGGAAGGGCAGCAGGGAGAGGCGGCCGTCTGCCCATCTCCCCACCACCAGCACCGGGGCCGGGACTTTCCCTTTGTTTCTGGCTGTAAACCGGCAATAAAACCCCCAGACACGGGGATATGGCTGCAGGTTATTGCTCTTTCCTGGAAACTGTTGAATCAGAGGGGCAGCCCTGAAGAAATAACGAGGGGAGGGAGCTCCTGGGAGCAGCCAGCAGGTGGGCAGGCGGCTGCAGAGCCTTCTGGGGCTCTGCTTTCAAGCAGGGTCAAGTTCCTGAAGCTGATGAATGATGCAGTGCAGGCACTGCCCCATCCAGCCCCGGGGTCACCGTGCCCCCGCATCCCCTGCAAGGACAGACGCAGTGCTGATGCTTTCTGATGCCAAATGGGCATCTTAAAAAAAAGCAGATGAGAGCTTGGTGCAGAATTTGGGATTCTCCCATCTCGGGAGGCAGCTCTGCAAACCCGGCCCAGGTGTGCTGCATCAGCACAGGACCCACACACAGAGGTGGTCCTCCAGCTCCACCCGTGGATGCAAACACAAACCCGAGCAAACCTCATTGGTACACAGTGCTGAGCTGCACCTGAGCCTTTCCTACAGGCACGAGTGACGGTCAGAGGGCACTCCTACCTTTGCAGGTCTTCCTGTCGGGCTGCAGCATGAAGCCCATGGGGCAGCTGCAGTGCACGCCGGTGGCCGCATCGTGACACTTGCTGTCACAGCCCCCATTGTTCACAGCACAGGTCTCTGTAGGGAGAAGGAAGGAGCACAGCAGATGAGGGCCCACGATCCCTGCCCCACTGAAACACCTCTGGGTTTTTAATGCCTCCTGGTTAACACACGCCCTCAAGCACAGAGAGGGGACCTGGTGGGTTCCAAGGGTGAAAATGAGTGCACGTGGCACATCTCTGCCTGCAGGCAGGGAAAAGCATCCAGGTTTCCTGCTGCCCTGTCCTCTGCACAGCCCTCCTGCCTTCCAGCATCCAGCACTTTAGAAGGGGCATCTGTCCCTGTGGTGGGACATGGGAGCAGAGACAGCCCCACCTGTCTGTCCCAGGGCAGTGCAGGTATGGACGGAGCAGTGCTGAGGAGGGGGGGTTTGCTACTGTAAAACAAAGGATGAAACACTTCTGGACTCTTCAGGAGCCTCCATGAGAACAGGGCTGCAGGCAGTGGGGGACACACGGCGCTGTCAGCATTCGGGTGTGCAAGATGCACTCAGGTGCACAGCCCTCACCCCACATCAGTTGCATCCACCACCCCACAGTGCTCCGTTTGCCCCACACACGTCCGTGCTGTCCTCATGTGTCACCAATGGGCACGCTGGCCCATCCGGCTGCCCAGGCTAATTTGGGAGATGCTTTGTAAAATTAGAACACACACACACACACACACACACGCCAGCAGCATCAGTGGAAAAAAAAAAAAATCCCTTAAAAAAAATGCTAATTATTCCAGCATTATCAAAGTCAGCTGTTGCTGGTAAAAGCAGAAGGGGCACTAATTGAAACGAAGCGTTTTCAGCTTGACAGCTTCCCTGTGAGATCAATCTTCAATTTGGGTCCTAACCGCCAGAACAATGGTTTGAAGTGCATGAAGTTGTTCACAGAGGGTAATAAAGCCTTTCCCTTCGGAGGGCCAGGCAAGGGGTAAATGAGGCTTCAAGGAACCCGACATGAACATGCCTTGAAGAAATTCCTTGGAAAGAGCAAATCCCAGGTTCTGCTGCTCTTTGCATGGGGCCCAGTGACGGAACCGTGCAACCATTTGCTGCAGGGCGACGGAGCTGGGATCGTTCTGTGCTCGTCTTGCTGCTGCTATTTTTATGATGTCCCATAATAGGAGAACAAAGGGACCATTTCATGCAATTAATAGCCAGCACAATTACAAAACGTAATGGCAAGGGATGGATTTCTGCAGATATGAACCCTGCAGCCCCAGACCAGCAAAGAGCACAGGGCAGACAGCACTGCACCAAGGGGAAGGGGAACTTCATGGAGGCTGCATTAAGAATTTAATTCAGCTCTGCTGCAGCAGTTTGGTCAGGGGGAGAGAGAGGAGCGGGTTAATGGTGTCATTGCTCAGGGTGAACCCCACGCTTCTGGAGCAACAGGAGCACAGCTCCCTTCTCCCCAGCCATCCATCCCCTTTGCACCGTCAGGGCTGAGCTTTGCAAAGAGTTTTGCATGGGATGCACAGGAGCCGGCTTTGCAGGGTCAGCACAGCAAAGCACTTTGTAAAACGGGGGTGGGGGGCACATCCCAGGACTTGCAGAAAACTTTTGCAAGCAGAGCAGGGCTCTGGTGTAGCTGAAAGTGAAGGGTCAGGGATGGGTGTTGTGGCCCTGGGACAGGAGCACTGCTCAGCAGTGCTGGCAGCTGCAAGCCAGCGTGAATCACCACACACACAGCGTTTGGTGAGGACTCCCATTGCACGGGGAGGGAGAAGACAAAGCAGCTCACACGCACACACACAAACACGCTCCATCCTAACCTCACTGTGCCACAACAACGCCCCTGCAGTGTCCTCCACTGTCACTGTCACCGGGTCCAGACGCGCCCCACGTGTGCCCCCGCGCTTCCACTGCTCTGGGTTTGCCTCCACCTCCCAGGAGGCAGCAGAAGGACATCAGCCCCACAGCGTTATGGAGAGAACCGTGGGGTGACCAGCTCAGCACAGAACTGAAGGTCTCTCTGGTGCTGCCTGCTGAAGGAGCCTGGGGAAGGCTCTGCAGAGTCCCCAAAAGGTGGGATAGGGCTCAGGGAAGGGGTCCTCTTGGAAGAGCCAGGGAGTGCTGCCATGTGTCACCAGGAGCTGGGGACCTGCAGTGACATCTGGGAGCAGGGTCATTGCAGGTGCTGCCAGCAGTCACCAGCTGGGGAAGGGAAGAGAGGAGGGGATGTAGGGAGACACTGCAGGGAGAAAGCCCAGTCTGAGCGATGCCTGGTGCCCTGGTCTTGCAGCACAACTCCTGCAAATGCCTCTTGTAACTGCCCCATTGCAAGAGATGGCTCTGATCCCCAACAGGACAGAGCGGAGCACCGGGGCGGCTCTGAAGCACTGCTCCCACCCAACGCTCCCACCTTAGCCACAGCTGCAGAGATGGGCACAAGGAAACCATCACCCCCGGCTCAGACAAGGTGAGTGCCCAGCATCATGCAAGCACAGCCAGGGAGGGGTTTGCTGCTCTGTGCATCCCCAAAAGCGGAGCTGGTTGCAGCCCAAGGTTTGCTGGGGCGGCGTGCAGGCAGCAGCAGTGCCGGTTAGTGCTGGCAGCGCAGCCGTGCAAAGCAGGCATGCAGTTAGTTCAAAGCTCACCCCCCCAGTGAGCATCTCGAGGCGAGACCCCTTCACAGAGAAAGAGAGAACAAAAATATTTACCATTAGAAAACGTCTCAAGGATAACGTGTTGCTGGAAGTGTCTCTCCCCTGTTTGATATTATAAAAAAGTGATTTAGAAACAGTGTCCAGCAAGGAAGCTCGCTTGGTGTCACACGACAGTGATTTCCACTCCGCTGCCTCTTGAGCTTGGTGGAAACGGTCCCCCACCTCCCAGAAGGATCCAAACCCAAGGTCTGGGTCCTGTGCTGTCCATCACGCTGTCTGCATCACCCCTGGCCTCTCCGATCCCCACCGGTTTGGCGCTTTGCTCAAGCAGCAGGGCAGGCGCAGGAGAAAGCGAGCAACAAAGAGCATTAGTGCAGAGCCCGTTAGTCCCATGGAATGGTGCCTTGCTCTCAGCAGAGCAAAAACGAGCGCTCGCCGGGGTGGGGGCAGGCAGGAGGGACTGAGCCCAACCTCAGTGAGCTTGGGCTGCACCCAAAGGGCCGTCTGGGGAGTGTTTTGGGAAGCCGTGGCATGGAGCTGAGGGCTGTCCTGCCTTATGCTGGGTGTTCTGGGGAGGGGTGAGCACCTCCTGTGCAGGGATGGAGCCCCACAGCAAAGGACACGTGGATGGGGATGCCTGGGGAGCCGTTTGGGGATGACTGCATCCCTGTTGGATGAGACACAACGCCGGGTCCGTGCAGGGGGAAGGAGGAGAAAAGGGGAAAAGGAGGAAGAAGCCCAGCCTGCCCCATGGGTACCCAACCCAAGGGCAGGGGGACTCAGGACCCCCAAGGCTCTGCAGTGCCAAGAAGGGACGTTGTCTCCGTGATCGGAGCAGCACGGTGAGCCCTTGGCCACCTTGTGTGCCTGAGCCCCATGTTCCCCCCCTCCCCAAAAAGCCCTCCTGTCCCAGCAGCTTTGCTTTCCCCAGCCCTGATCCACTCCCTGACGTCGCATCAGCCATCAGAGGTGCAGCACAAATCGCCCAAACACAGCTCAGGCAATCTGCCATAAAACTGGAGCTGGATTTGTTTCCTTCTTTACCTAATCGCACTTCCTGCCCATCCACAGCTCCAGGCTCACCCCTCTGCACCCCAAACACCAAAAGGACGGGAGATGCACCGCCAGCATCAGTTTCACCCTACAAACTCTCCCAAAAAGCTGAAAATCACAGCAGCCAAAGCTGCACCTCCTCACGGGCGCTGCACCCCAGGGCTGATCCGACCCAGGCTTTAATCCGGAGGGCGATTTGTTGCGCATTTGTTTTATTTTAAAGGCCGCTTTTAGAGCATCAACATAAATATCCGAGGTCACCGGCCTCCCCCTGCAGCTTCCATCTCCCCCCCCCACCCCGACGCTGCAGACGCGTTGGGAGCCATTAGGGCTGGCCCCGCTCTGCTCCCAGGCATGTTCTTCATTATCCTCGTTTTTAAAAGCGGCAATAAAAAGCGGAAAAATGAAAAACACCGGCCGTGCCCTAATGAAACCGTCACTCAAAGGGGCTGCTCGCGCTTCCTGCCGCGTGGTGTGATCTGAAGGGAACCTGGACCAGGGGACGGCCCCAGCAACCCATCAAAAGCACCGCGTACAATTTCAAAGCCCGCAGCCCGGGGAGAGAGTTTGCGTTCCCCACGCTGGAAATTTTATTCCCCTTGAAATGATGAAATATTTCAGAGGAAATGGAGAAGGAGAGAGGGGAGGGGGTGGCGGTGGGAGTGGGGGGGGGGAGGCAGGGCTGTTTGCTGAGCCCTGGCTGTAAAACAAACGTGGGCAGTTATAAATATCCGAGCAGGTACCTCAGCCCCCACCTCGGCCATAAATCTGACCCCAAAGCACAATCCTGCAGTGTTCCTGCTACGGCTGGGGGGGAAGGGGGCCTGGGACCCCTCCCAGGGGGATATGGCGCAGAATGGGGCTGTCCCTGCAGAGCCACATGGATGGAGGCACAGGGTCAGGGGGTTCGGAACTGCCCCCAAAAATCTGCGGTTCATCTCCCTCAGGAAGGTGGGAGCAGAGAGAAGAGCCTGCAAGGATGCAGTGGAGCTTGTAAGAGGTGCCACCCTGAGATGCTGTGCACAGATTGGAGCAGAAAGGGGACATTTTGGCCAAGGCTCTCAGAAGGATGTGGGATTGCTGAAGCACAGAGGTGCTCCTCTCACACCTGCAGCACCCAGGCCTCCATGCTGAGACCCTCCATCAAACAGACCCCTGTGGAGCATCACCTTTGGGCAGCACCCTGGTGCCCCATGCACACAGACAGCGGATGAGTGGGCTGCTAAATAACCCTGCCGGGTGCCAAGCTGGGGTGGAATGCAGCAAGCAGGGAGAAGATGCCTGCAATAGAGCAAGCCCCACTCAGCTCCCTGCTGCCCTAAGGACAAGGTGCAGCATCACATAGAGCCAGCTGGGAGTGGGCAGGGGGCTCTGCTGGGGGCACAGTGCTGCAGGGGATGGACCCTGACCCCCAGGTCAGGTCAGAGCTTGGGGAGTGCAGAGCAATCCCTGTGCCATGAGCAGCCCAAAGCTGGCTGCTGCCTCCAGTCACTCTCAACCCCTTTTAATTATTTTGCAATAAGAACTGAAATGTCTGGAGCAATTTGTGGACTTAATCACTCCCCAAACGTAACATTTTTTTAAATCAAATCAGCTGTCAAGCAGCGCAAGCGTCTGAAACCAGTAAAACTTCTATCTCTGTTTGATGTTTCCCAGTTTGAAAACACATACAGGAAAAGGATGCTTTTGGGGATGGTTGGGCTCTCGGGGCTGTTGGTTGCTTGCTATTATTTTTTCTTCTGCAAGACAATTGTTCCTGAGCTGAGAGCCCACGATGCCAAGTTGGGATGGAGTGCGCGCATCCAAATTGGTCCCCTCCAGCTTCCTCCCTGCTGCTGTTGGATGGAGGTGGTGGCACCACGGGGACAGTGACAATTGCTGCTGTGAGGGACGTCACCACCCCTTTCCCTCCTGCAGCACAAAGGCAGGTGGGGACCTCAGCACACTGAGTCACAATGCATTTGTCCCCATGTCCCCAACACTCAGAGCATCCCCAAAGCCACTCTCGCTCCCAATGGATCACTTTGTTCCATGCCTGTGGTGGTGACACGGCACCAAGCCTATGGATGCACGCAGCATCCCACAACGAGCTGCTCCAACCTCAGCCTCAAACTTCTGGCAGAAGGAACTGCCCCATCCCCAAAGCACTCCTTTACCCAAAGGCACACTGCTCAGGGACAGAGCAAGCGGCCCCGAGCCCCAGTGTGATCCCTCGTGGGGACTCTGCACCCACCTATGCAGGTGACGCCGTCAGAGTGCAGCAAGAACTTGACGTGGCAGCCACACTTGGGACCCTGGTCCGTGTCATCACAGGTGTGCTGGCAGCCGCCGTTCCCGTAGTTGCACGTCACTGAGGGGGACAAAGCAAAGGGGTCACTATGGGGGAAACAACCCACAACCCCTCTTCTCCCCACGCCCCCCCTCCTTCCAGGCTGGATGGCACAGAGCTGCTTGGGGAACCTCAGCCAGGTCCTAAGACACGTTCCTCCCTCTCAGATAATTTCTAAAACCCTTTGGTTTTCCCAGCAGGATCTTGGCAGGTAAAAACCCCTGGGTGGTTATGTGGATGTTTTTTTGGAGAAGATTTACTAAATGCCACCAGTAGACTTGGTGGAAGGGGACCCACTGACACAGGGGCACAGTGAGACCTCCAGGGTGACTCAGGTGCTTCCCTGCCAGCCCTCCCAGGGCGTGCTTTGCCTTTAACTTGGAAGGAAAACAGCTCCATAGGATTAAAACTGTGTCTCATCAGCAATTTTAGCTGTTTGCTGCAAGACAGCGAGCAAGCAGCAAAATAAAAACAATTGCATAAAGACAGAAATATATATTTAATAGCCTGGCAGTGCCAGCAAGATCCTGGCGGGAGATCAGACGGGCTGAGAGCACCCTGTGCCCCGGGGAGAGGATTCCTGAGCTCCCCCTGTGCCAATCACATTCCCTCTGCTCATCTTCCTCATGGGAAAACCAAGCTGGTGTGACATGGATAGAGGGTGCTGCACACACAGTGCCAATTCAGGCTGCTCGTGGTGGAGTTAGGGCTTTGCAGCAGGGCTGGGGTGGGTCTGTGCCATTGGAACAAAGCCGCAGAGTGGGACTGGGCTCTCCACCCCTCCTTACGTTTGCAGTCACGTTGGTTCTTGGTGAGCTCGAAGCCCGGGCGGCACTCGCAGGCGATGCCCCCCTTGGGGGTCTCTCGGCAGATGTGGGCGCAGCCGTGGTTCTTGTTCATGCAGTTCATTCCTTCTAAAGGAGAAAAGGAAGCAAAGAAAAGCTCCAGAAGGTCACCAGCAACGAGGATTGCTCTCCTCCTCCTCTCCACCCCAGCAGCACGGTGGGGGTGGAGGGATGGGGGTTTGAGGCAGCTGTTTTTTGCTACAGAGGGAAGGTTTCTTTTTGGATCTTATCAAAACTGATGGCTCTTTGTGCCAAGGGCTCCGGGTCTGGCAGCATTTCACTGCTGTGCATCTGCTTGAAGTGAGGAGGGAGAGAGGGGAAAGGAGAGAGCGCAAAAGAAACGCAGAGTGCAGAGGGAAAGGAGACAGTCTGCCAGGGTCAGAGAGAGGGAAGGAGAAGGGAGACGCAGTGCTGGCAAGGACCCCAGAAGGAAGAAAGCAGCCGTAAGAGTGAGATTCAGCTCTCTGACGCTGAATGCTTCAGTCCTGGCAGTGCCTGAGCCAGGAGTAAAGCCAGGGCGACCAACGCTCAGTCCCAAAGGCTCCCAGCTCCCCAAGCCCTGGGCTCACAACCCAGGGATCAGCTCCCAGCCGCTCACCCCTTCTCTTCACTCCAAAACCTGAGTGAAGGGAGCATGCAGGCAACATCCACCGGGCTGACCTCGGGATGCAGAACCCACACGGCCCTCCCAGCACTGATGATGCTCTGCAGATGCTCAGCTCAAAAATGGGCTCCAAAAGGCAGCACCTGTGTCCCTGCCTGCAGCGGGGCCACCCACGGCGGCACTGATCTCATCCCTGCCAAGCACACACATGGGATGGGGACACAGAAATGCCACTGAGCCATGCCAGCCTGGGCAAGATACCCCAGGGAGCACAAGGGATCAGCACAGCTGGGAAGGAGGAAAGCGAAACCCATGCGGCCGTTTTGCCAAGCGGCAGAGATAAAAATCAGCAGAGATGCAAAAACAAAACAAAACAAAACAAAAACCCTCTCTCTCATTTCCTCATATTTTGGCGAAGAGCTCGCTCCAGACGGCAGCAATTTAGAGCTGATATTGAGACAGAAGGATCGGTGCTGTGCAAGACCTGGCAGGAAAGGATGCGTCTCGCAGAGCGGCGCGGGGAGCTCCGGGTACCTTTTGTTTAATAAAAGGCTCTGGCCACGAGATTAGAGTCCTCCATTTGGTATTATTGAGCTCGATTAAGGGGCCTGCAAGGGTTTTGCTCTGGGATGTTTGTTAGCCCTGCAGTGTCCTCTCACCGTGTGCTTGTGCCAAGTTTGCTTTTAAATTCGCAGCGCTCCCAGCGCCGAGGGGGGTCAGGAAGCAGCACCAGAGCTGTGCACTGTGCAGGGCTGAGCGTGGGAGCCCAGCAACCACTCCTGCAACAACCACCCCACAGTCACCACCCCAAGCAAAAAGTGACACTGCTCCTTGTGACCGGATCTGAGCGATACATCTGAGGTTATCCCACAGCCCCAAAGTGGGGTCCCACCTTGGAGGTGGGCAGTCAGGGCTCAGGGGGTGCCAAGCACTGACCTTCAGGGCGCTGGATGCACGTGTGCTGGTTGTCACTGAGGAAGAAGCCCTCCCGGCAGAAGCACTCATAGCTGCCCATCATGTTGACGCAGGTCTGCTGGCAGCCGCCGTTGCCCTCTGAGCACTCATCCAGGTCTGCAAAGGGAAGGAGATGGAGGTGAGAGTGGTTCTGCAGCACCAAATGGAGCGGGACGGGAACGTGCTGTGCAGCAAACAGTTTCTGCTTTGCATCCTTGGTCCCCCAGCTAGAAGAAAGGGCGCTGCTGAGTGCTGCAGGGGATGAAGCCAAGGCACATCCAGGGGTGGATTTCAGAGGCCACACAGCTTCTCCAGGAGCAAAAAACGCGGTGGCCCCATTTTGCAGATGAGAACACCAACCCACAGAGAAAGGGGTTCTCCTTGTCCCAGATCCCTGGGCAGATTGTGCCCCTCTGTCTGCTGCTGGTGGGGAAGCGCCTGGACTTCATTATGGGGAACCCTAGCCCAGAGCAGGGACAATTACTTCTAAGGAGACTCAAATCCCCTGCAGCATCCCAGCTTGGGAAGGAGGCAGAGATGAAAACCTCAGCCTGAGTGCTGCAGGATCAGTGCCACAGCCCCACATCGCTGTGTTCCTGTTCTCTGTGGGCTCATAGTCCACATGGGGGCACAGAGCTTGACCGAACTCCTTGCTTTTGGGATGAATACACCTCGAGCACTGCACTGTGCTGCTGCAGCCCAGGGATGCTCAGAGCAGGGCTGAGCCCTGGCTGTGAGCCGTCACCAAGCAGTGGCACCGTCTGAGGCCTCTGGAGGACAAACCAGGACATCCCATGCGATGACAGAGGGCTCCCAGCTTCCCCCAGGGCTTGTCCCAGCCAAGTACCGTCCTGCAGATGCCAGCAACTCTCCTCAAATCCCCTGTTTATAACAAGGGCTTAACATCTTGCGGCGTCTCCTTCAAGGTCTACACAAAAATGAGGAGGCAGCTGTTCCAAACCGAGGGCTGAAACGAGACCCCGCCGCTCTAATACCTATTTTATGAAACGTAACGGAGGCAGGCAGGAGCCAGAAGGCCCCGTATCAGGACGAGGGCTTGAATTCCTGTCCTGGTTCAAAAGGTCACCCAAGGAGGGGATGCTCAGTGGCTGCTGCACACCCCAACCCAGCAATGACCCATCAGCATCTGGCAGGAGCTGGACCTCTCCTGCAGCTCTCCCTGGGAATAGCTGAGGGTTATTTGGTGTATAGAGCACGTGCTTCTGGGTCCTCCTCTCCATTTGGGCACTCCTAAGCCTAGGCAGAACGCTCGCTTTGCTTTGCTTCTGCCTTCCAGTCAAATGGGGGTGGGAAAAGCATGCCTATGGTTGGGGTGGATGAGGGTAGGGAAAACCCCCTGGGCCTCATCCCTGCAGAGAAAAAAAAATAATAATAATTTAAGAAAAAGAGGGTATCAACATCATTCTCTGCAGAATGGGCTCCAAAGGGTAAATTCGTGCTATCCTGGAAGCAAAGCAGCATGGATGAGATGCTTCCTTGCGATGAGCTGTGGAAGGGCTTCAGGGATGCAGGGCTGCCCCGCGCCCGCTGCTCCCCTCCCACCCCGCTCTGTAAACACATGACGTCTGTGGCTCGCCGAGCCCAGCTTCCCTTTCTTCTCCTTGGGCTCATCCTCCCCAGGGTGGGGAAGGCAGGGCCGCCCGCCTGCGCTCCCTCCAGCTGTGTAAATCTCCCCCTTCACCGAGGAGCCTGCAAAGTTCCCGGTGATGGCAGTTAATGCGAAGCGTATGTGTCCAGAATCCCTTTCCCTTCCTCCCTCTAATGATGAGCTCATTAATGACCTCGCTGCAGACACTAATTAGCAAATAGCACGCCGCAGTCCGGGGTGGGGGAGGTGGGCGGCCGGGTGCCCCTGCGGGCGCTGCGGAAGGAAGGGGGCGTTGGGATGCGGGCAGCGCGGCTGCACCGAGGATTCGGCCGTGCCGCAGCCGGATGGAGCTTGGGGCAGCGCGAGGATGCGCAGCTCTCCGTAGGCAGATGCTGGGTTTGTCTTGGCCTCAGGATTATTTACCCAGTCCTTTCGCCTGCTCACATCTCCACCGTATTTGCTCTTAACTCATCTATTTTGGCAGGTGCAGGGCTGACCTCAAGCACGAGCGCCCAGGAGAGCCCTGCAGGCTGGTCCTGCCTCCGGCAGCACAGCAGCACACGCTGCTTCCATCCATTGGCCCCAAACCCAGCAGTGGGGAAGGCCTCCAGTTCCACCTTGCCCAAACATATGGATGATCCCTATCCAGTTTTGTCCCGGCACCCAAGCATCCCCATCGTGCAATGGGAAGCAATGCCATCCCCATCCCTGGAGAGCTGTCGCTGCACAAAACATCTACGGTGCCTCTGCTGTCAGCAGCCCTCCCATACACCACACCTGAAATATGCAACTCGCACATTATCTGCTTTCAGCACCAGCAATGTAACAGCCTAGAATGGAGGCTGTTTGCATTGCCGCTCCTTAGGGCAATGCAAACCAGTGGGACTGTGGCAGGTGCAAGGATGAGGCTTGCAGGATGGAGTGAAGTGCACAGGGGTCTTGGCCCTCTGCAAGCACAGAGGGAAAAAACAGGGCTATGCCTGCTTTATCTGCATACTAGCTTCCCATTCACATGCAAGCTGTTGGTGCTTGCACACTCTTAAGTCTGCTGGGTTTGAGCTCTTTGCAGGCTGCCATTACCTTGGTTTCTTGGCAAAAGCAAAAATGCTGAGGCCATTTAAGCAGCAGCTTCAGCTAGCAGCAAACCTTGGCACAACAAACCCTACCACAAAGCCATCCCTGAGCCAGCCCAGCACTCACCCAGGCAGTTGTGGCCATCGTGTGCCAGGCGGAAGCCATCGTAGCAGGTGCAGCGGTAGTTCCCAGGGATGTTGACACACTCGTGGACGCAGCCTGCGTTGTCCTCCCGTTCACATTCATCCACATCTGCAGAGAAAGGAGGGCAGGGAGCTGCAGGGAGCATGTCTCTGCTGTGTGCCCAAGTCCCAGCCTGGTCCCTGCCCCAGCTCAGGTGTCACCCTGTGGTCCCTGCTGCTGCTCGCCAGCTCCTGCTGCATCCCAGCACTGCTGCAGGAGCAGAGCCCCACCTGCACCCGTGATGATCAGCTCTGCCATCCCTCCTGCTGCAAAATCCCAGCCAAAGGCTGCTCCCCTGCTCTGTGCCCAAAAGGTGATGCATGGGAAGGGTATGGCTTCACCTGCCCACACGGAGGTACTTCAAGTCTCAGAACACAGCTCTACTGCCTGTCCTTCCTGGAGGAAAGCCCCCCCACAAGCCCAGGAACCATTTGGGATTTCCTGAGGGCAGCATGTTTGCGTGCTACCTGAGCTGGGATCTTGCTTTTGTTCCATCACTATTTGTACTCCTCCCGATTCAGGAAGTTTTCTTCTGCCCAGTTCCTGCCTCCTTTCCCTGCTGCATTTGGACACATACATGCTTAAGCTTCTCATGTTTTACCTACTGACCTAATTCTGTAGCTTCTGGGCTGCAAACCCTGCAGGAAGAAAGCCTGGATTTGTTGCAAACAAAGCCCAGGTGACCCTCCAGGGGCTGGAGCAGCACCACTCTTTGCAAACATGGCTATTTGCAGAGCAGTATCACCACATCATGTTGGTTTGTGTCTAAGAAAAGGTTTGTAGTGGGCTGGGGTGGCTCAGCATCCCTCACTGGTGCTTGGGGCTCATTGGAGGGGCTCCCGCAGCACATCCTTACCTTTACAGTGCTTCCCATCACCGGTGTAGCCAGACTTGCAGATACACTTGTAGGACTTGGGTGTGTTCTGGCAGATGGCATCAATGTGACAGCTGTCAGTGCCCTCCACGCACTCGTCCACATCTGCAAGGGGAGAGGAGGTGATGGGAGCAAGAAGTACACAGACCTGTAGCAGCCATGCAGGCTTTCAAGTATCAAAACACAGAGTGGAGAAGAGGAAGGGAAGAATTCTGCTGCTCTGCTTTGCTCCCAATCACTGCACCCAGCCCAGTGCAACTGGTGATGGGTGTGCTCCAGAAAAGCATCACCTGTGCACCTTCTCTCCTTAAAGCTCCCCTGGGAGCCAGTGATCATTTCACACAGCTGAGGGAAGCAGTGCTCAGACACCAAAAGTCCAGGCTGGAACCAGCCCAGCTAGAGGTGAAAGCCTCTGTCTCCAATTAGCAATTTCCTGAGCCGACCAGTCACCCAGATAATCGTCACTGCTCTTTATTCTTAGGCATGGAGGAATGTGTGCAAATTAACAGGGACCACAATAAATAAACCTGAGAGCAGGAACCAGGGAGTGAGAACTGGGAAAAACAGCACAGCTTCCTCAGGAGCACAGCCAAAAGCACAGCTCCCCAAAGGCCCAACACCTCTATGGGCATCGTCCATCCAAACAGTGGGGATGTACTTCACAGCATGGAGGGAATCATCACGGAGCTGTGGGATGGCTGGATTGAAAGGGACCTTAAAGATCATAGAACAATGGGGTTGTTGGGTTGGAAGGGACCTTAAAGATCACAGAACCATGGAATAGTTGGGTTAGAAGGGATTTTAAAGATCATAGAACCACGGAGTGGTTGGGTTGGAAGGGACCTTAAAGATCATAGAACCATGGGGTTGTTGGGTTGGAAGGGACCTTAAAGATCAGAGAACCTTGGGATGATTGGGCTGGAAGTGACCTCATGGCCCCCTGAGCCCCACTCCTGCTGTGGGCTGGGTGCCCCTCACCAGCTCAGGCTGCCCAGGGCCCCATCTGTGGTCATGGACACCTCCAGGGTTGGGGCACCCACAGCTCTGAGCAGCAGTGCCAGAGCCTTGCTGCCCTCTGATAAAAAAAAATTCTCTCCTAATATTCAGGAGTAAATCTCTCCTTTTAGTTCTAAATCATTTTCCCTTATCCTACCACCATCTGCCCATGTAAAAAGTCACTCTCCCTCCTATCTACAAGCTCCTGGCCAGAGCATAAGACTCCAGGCAACAACCTCAGCAACACCCAAGGGCTCACTGTGGCAGGAGGCATGGGGAGCAGAGGTTTTAATAGCACAGAAGAAATGGAGCTGTGTGGGGTGGAGGCTGTGTGGGAGCTGAGCATCATGCTTGGGGCTTGGGGACCTTCAGTGCATCCCACTCTGCCACATCCCATAGGAGGGATTTGGACCCCAAAAACCATGAGCCCAAGGCTGAGAAACTCCCAGCTGCCTTTAAAATTTGTCTCTCTGCAGTGCAAAGAATGCAGGCGCTCCGGGAGGTCTCTGAAGATGTGATGCATCCTGGCAAGCCACCAGAGGCTGGGCAGCCCCAGAGGAACGCCGGGATGGAGGCCACGGCCACAGGAGCAAAGGGCTGAGCACTCTCCGGCCACCATGGGGTTTTTTTGCAGGGAGATGTGAGTCATCCTTGCACCAGGGAGGCAGCACGTGCCTGTGCATTGTATAAATATTTACAGCACGCATTCATATTTGTTGTTTGACATTAGCCATGGCCTGCGGCCACCAGCGCCTCCCTCGGGCCATTAATCACGGGCTGGGGGCTGACCCACCGCAGTGGGAGAGCTGTGGGGTGGTGTGGGGACAGGCACCCACTCTGCAACCCACAGGGACAGCCCTGGTGCCACCACAGGGCGAAGACCCCACACTGCACCCAATGCTGAGCCTCACTGCATCCATCCCTGCTGTCACCTCCCAGCCACAGCAAGGCGGGATGGAGATTGCTGTTGCTGGATGCCCCACTGGGCACCCCATAGACTCCAGGTGCCCACCTCAGCACTCGTGGTGCACGCAGCTCTCAAATCAAAGAGATGTGGTTGGGATGCCCAACATTGCCCATTTGGCAGACTCAATAGAAACCACAGCCAACGAGTTCAAACCCAACACATTCAAACCCAAACGCCTCGATCCCTATAGCTGGAGCCACTCACACTCGCCAACAGCCAGGTGTGCCCACGGCAGGACAGGGGCTGATGTTCCACAGCTCCCAAATCTGCCCCAGGTGGGGATCATCAAATTACAATGGGTAACGGCCTTAACTGGCACCAGGAGAGGTTCAGCTTGGCTATTAGGACAAATCCGCCACAGGGCGGTGATGCAGTGGCACAGTCTGCTCAGGGAGCGGTGGGGACCATGAAAAGGCTCAGAACTGCAGAGATGTGGCACTGAGGAACGTGGTTATGGGCACGGAGATGGGATGGGGTTGGATTGGCGATCTTTGTGGTCTTTTCCAACTGTAATGATTCCACAGTTCTATGAAATGTTGCATTTTTTTGAGTTTCAGGGGCACAGATGTGGGTACAGCTCTTCTAGCATCTCTCATGCACAGAGAGGTCGTGCTTCCACTTTGCTCAGCAATAGATGAGCAAAACCTCCCATTGCCGTTCTCTGAAAGCTCCCCAAACACGAAGCATCCATTGCACACCACAGAGTTGAAATTTTCCCAGCATTTTGCCAGAAATTGCACTTTTTTAGATTTATTTTTCCTATTTTTTTTCCCCTTCTCTGCCCTCAAAGTCAACACAATGAACAATGCGTGTTGTGATGCTGAAAACAATGCCGTGGCTTTCCCTCTCACACATGTATGGGTTTTTTTTTCTATCTCCTTTTTTTTTTTTTTTTTTTCCATTCTGTAACTTCAAAACCCCTCTAACTTTGGAAAGATTACACAGCAGCAAAAGTACAAAAGAAAACATTATAAATTTGCCACTCTGTAATTTTTCCAAAGCTGGAGACATTCTGAAAGGTTACAGGATTAGAAAACGAGGGAAAAAAGGATAAAAAAGTGTGTGTGTGTGGGAAGCATGAATAAATACCCTCCTGGCCACTCCAGGAACCATCCCATCCTGGCAGGGATCCTACCTTCAGAACACCGAAATCCTGGCTCCTAAGAAAGAGCATCTTTAAGAAACTATGGAGTAAAAATCAAGAAAAAAAAAAGCCTTCTGAAAAACCCAATTTTTGCATTCTTGTCAATGTAAGGAGCATTTCCCATGGAGCAACTTTGCTGTTGGGACATGCTTTCCTGTGGGAGATTTCCACCTCTGAAAATGCCTGTGGCACTGCTGCAGGTGCTTCCAGCAGCTGCAGAGATGCAAGGGATGAGATTTCCAAGCCAACAGGATGGGAGATTCAACAAAAAGCAATGCCAATATTCCAACTCCATCCGCAGCCACAAAGCCCTCACTGGGGTTCATAGAATCGTAGAATGGTCTGAGTTGGAAGGGATCCTCAAAGATCATCCAATCCAACTCCCCTGTCTTGATACAGGACACCCACAACTCAATCAGGGTGCTCCAGGCCCTGTCCGGTCTGGCCACGGACGTCTCCATGGATGGGGACATCCACCTCCTCTCTGGGCAGCCTGTTCCAGTAGACCCACAGCCACTACCATAAAAAACCTTTTCCATATATCAACCCAAATTTCCCCTCTTCGAGTTTGAAACCATTTTCCCCTCGTGTTATTACAGAATCACAGAATCTCCAAGGTTGGAAAAGATGTCCAAGATTCCTCAGTCCAACTGTCCACCTACCACCAATGGTTCTCCACTACACCGTGTCACTCAGTACCACATCTAAAGGTTTCTTGAACACATGAATTTCTTGATCCATGGGTCTGCCCCATGGCTCCAGATCTGGGAGGTCAAGTGCCAACCCCAGGCTGGGATTTGGGGTCAGCCCCTTCAATAATCCAAGCTGCCCTTTTTCAAACTCCCATGGGTGCGCTGTGCCCCAAATACCCCGAACTGAGGGGTTTTGCACAAGGCAGATCTGCAATGAAGACGCTACGGCCCATCCAGAGATGTACCAAAGGGCGCCCAGCTCCACCTCTGGATCCAGCCTCAATTTTGGGGCAAAGCCCATTGGTGCTTTGCCCATGCCCTTGGGGTCAGCAGCACAACGCTGAGGCTCTGCCCACAGCACAGCCCTGGAGGAGGTGGCAGCGCCCAGCGCGATGTTTTTTATTCCGTTGTGGGTGGGATTTTCCAGCGCTCGCTGTTGGGCCCCGTTCCGCTCCAGCTGCAGCTTTATTCTCCATTTCAAAGGCAGCCGAAGAAGGCAGACGGTTGCAACGCCACTGCCATTTCGAGAGCTCCCAGAGGACGGCTGCCCCGGCACCGCATCGCGCCCATGGGGATGCAGTGCTCGGAGGGGGGACGGCGCTGGGCGCCCCGGGGCATCCACACCAATGGATGTGCGCACGGCTCCACGTGCCCTCACAGCCCGTGCTGGGCTCTCCCCTCGCTTCCTCGTTAGAAATAATAACAGTAAAGATGCTTTCATCTGCAGGCAGACGGACTGAGTCAACGGAGATGAGCTAAGGTGGCAAAAACCCACTGGGAATTCCGAAACAAACAAAACCTTTTTCACTCTTCTCTCGGCGCTTCAGCGTTTCCTCTCAAATTGGTTTGATTCTTTGTTTTTCTATAGGCAGCCTGTCTGTATAGAGACACGTGTGTAGCTGTTGGCAGAGGCACGGAGTTTCCACTCGGCCTTAATGCCAAATTAAAGCGTTATAACTTCAGTAGCTCTTTTTACTGGGGTATTAATAACCACCTCAGACACCGCGGGGCACTTTATTAATCATTTGTTCGTGGGATGGGGTGGGCGCTGCGGGCACGTTGGCCAAAGATGCATCATCCAAACTGGGAATCCTAGCTCAGGTGCTCGGGGACGGGACGGGCAGGGGGGTGGGGATGGGGATGGGAGATGCAACTGTGGGCTGCGGTGTGCTATGGAGCAATGATGCTGGAGGAGCACGGAAAGGAAGGGAAAAGCATAGGCATGAGGTACAGAGAGGGGTTGAACGGCTCTCCCCATCCACCTGCACTTGGGTGGCTCTTCAGGGGTTGCTCCTGTTGCTCCTTCTGCTTATCGGCTGAGCAAGGCTCGCCTTCCAGAGCGTGCTTGTTTTGTGTTTGGGGAGCAACAATCACGGTGGGAAGCAGCCTCTCCAAATCACAGCAGTGAGACAGAGCAAACTTTATTTGCCATCCCAGGCTTCTCCTGAAGCCTCTCGGGGGACTTATAACGCTGGAAGTGAAGGTTAAGGTTATTCATGCATACTTTTTTCCTAAATGGATTACTCCGGTGCGACCGTCTGCGAAGGAAAAAATTTATATAAAAATAAGAGAAAAAAAATAAAACTCCCGAGCCGCTTGGAGACAGCCATACATCTCTGCACTGGAAGACTCGAGGTGTCTGAATATTTATACTCCCGTTGGCAGTTACAAAAAAACTCTTCTTCCCTCCTTCCCACCCCCCTCCCCTTTTTAATCTAAGTATGGGCATGTCAGACGCCCTCAGTCAAAGATCTCCTTTGAACTGCTGTATGTTGAAATGTTTACAGTTTTACATTTCATATTTCAGAGGGGCGGAGGGGACAGGCACAACAGTCACACACTGTGAATGCAGCAGAGGGAGGAAAGCAGAGGCCGAGGGGGAGGAGGTCCGGCGGAGATGGGAGGGGAATCCAACAGCATCTCCATGCTGCAGCTGGGAAATTTTGTACTCCTTACAAAATAATACATCCCCAGCAACGTGGGCTCTGCAGGTGCATCCCCACCAAAGCTGAGCCCCTCATGCAGGAGGTGCCAAGGCTGTGGGAGAGGCTGCAGCCTCTGTGGGATGTCTTTGTTTATGGGATGCTGCCAGAGAGGCAACGGGATAAGGATGTGCCCTTGTGCCTGTAGGTGAAGGGCTGGGTGCACAGCCCTGCTGAAAAACTGGGGAGCTGCGGGCACGGGGGAAGGAAGACAGCAGCATCCAAGCACTGGGGCTGCCAGGAGCTCCTCCTGCCTTGCATGGGTTTGTATCACCGCTTGAAAGCAGTCCCAGTCCTAAGCTGACCCACCAAACCCAGCACACACCAGTCCTCCATTGGGCACCGTGCAGAGCTGAGCTGAGCCCCCTCCCTCAGAGCTTTGCAAGGTAACGCAGCGCTGTGAAGGAGCCCTGCTTACATCACACCATTCTGCAGGAAAACCAACCCACCCTGCGTGGGACAGCTGACACAGGCATGTGTGAGGGATACCACACAGCTGCACGCTGCACGTGGCACCGCATGGGGAAAGCACCAGGTGAGCTACCAGCACGGCAGTGAGGTGATGAGCTCCATCCTTGGGCACCATCACCCCAGAGCTTTCAGACCCATCCTCTCTCAGCACACCCTAGGCACGCGGCTTGCTGCTCGAGTTCAACGTTGGAGCGTGGAGAAAGCCAAGTGGTGTTGGGGGACACCCGAACACCCCAAACCCACGTGTCTCTCAGCCTCCTCCCGCTGCCTCCTGAGCCCCAGTGGGGTCCAAGGGTTCCTCCAGCCCTGCTCAGCTCAGCTCAAACTGGAGCTGGGAGCAGTACAGTATGGAGGAGCCCGCACTGCCCCGGGTGCGAAGCGGGCGGTGAGGATTTAGCTCACCTCTCTCCACCCCCTCTCCACCCCGCTCCTTCCCCGAAGGGATCTGTCAAGTCTCTGCACGATGGAATTTTACTTTGCTATTTTAATGCAATTCTGGCTCAGGCTTAAATGGAACTGGAAACCAAAAGGCCTTAATAAATAAATATTATGATAAGAAATGAAAGCAATGCATACACGAAAGATAATTTGGGGAGGGGGGGGTGGGAAACGAAGCATTCCTTTCTGAGCTTAAATCGTGAAGCTTTACGCAGAGCTGGACGCCTTCTCAGCAAACCTTTGCCCTGGAAAATCTCCCCCATGCTTGTCCAGACCGAGAAGACTCCCATTGTTTTAGAACACTGAAGGCAGATAAGACAATAGCCTTGAAATTCCTCCTAACTTCGTCAGTGACAGGGCTCAGCTCGGCTAGTCCTATTGCCTGCACGAGGTCTTTAATTACACGCTGCGCTCCCATATTTCATTCACACACTATTTAATCTCACCCTATGCACAAACATGCAGCTACTACAATAGCGGGAGCCAGAGCTGGTTTGATAAACCCTGTGTGGATGGGACAAACAAAACAAAACACGGTGCAAACAACAGATCCTAACAGGATTGTGGTGAATGAGGGAAAAAAAGCCCCTTCGATCCGGTGGCATCGTGCACATAGGGCTGTGTGTGCTCGCGTGCGCACGCACCCCAGTGCATAGAGAAAAATCCAAGCTAAATATAGAGGTGCTATAGAAAAGCCTAAGATATAGATAGCCCGTATATAAAGCTATGTGTGTGCTGGGAGAAAGCCTGGCTGAAGCACGGGAGCGGAGGAGCAGAAACGCCTGAAGTCGATAGCGATGGATGTGCCTCTCATTTGCAGGGACAGGAAAGCACAGAGCGTTTTTCAGCTCAGATCCATGAAGCTCTCTGCAGCACACTGCCCTGCTCGGGGCTATCAGAGCATTTGGGGTGCTGTGTGTGTGGATGGAAAGCACACCAACGTGGTGCTCCCACCTTCCAGCCCCGCTGCGCCTTCCCCATCCCCGGAGCGCCCTCACCCACATGGCATCACCCCTCTGCACACAGGCGAAGCCCCAAGACAGAAGAGCTTCCAAACTCCTTCAACCAGTGCAGTGATGGGTGAGCGCTGATTTCCTGCCTCTGCACCCCCTGCCCGGAGATAAAGAGTCCGAACACACGCAAAAAAAGCCAACAACCCTAAATGCAGATCATTAAAGAGTTCACAGAAAGACAACAATTAAAGGCAGCAGTGGGATATCTGCAAGCAGCGCTCAAAATCACCTCAACTAAGTTGTTACTGCTGCCCGTTTCACCAGCCTGTGTATAAAGCCCACATGTAACAGGAGGTCCGGCTGCCTGCACACACATCAAACAGATTTGGGAAGATTTCTCTTACCTTGACTGGCTTTATTTGCCAGCGTGATTCCAGAGTGGAGCAGAAGGGCAAGCATGCACAATCCAGCAATCTGCAACGCTCCCATTGCAATCCCCGCCTGCCTGCAGGAGCGGGGGCAAGAAGGGGGATTTCTCGTGCTTTAAAGGAAACAAGAGGCTGAGCATGCAAAGGGAAGGCAAGAGAAGGAAGGGGCTCTCCTCTTGCTGTGTGTGAGACAGAAGGAGGGAAGGGAACCGAAATGATGGAAAAAGCTGCTCTGGGTTCAGTGTGGGGCTCTTGGTGTTGCTAAAGAGGAGAGAGTGAGGGAAGGAGACCTAGGGCAGTTGGAAGAAAGTGGACTCTATCGCCCTCTCCCTGGCGGCTGCTCTGATCCCTTCTCCTTCTTCTCCTTCTTCTTCTTTTTGCTAAATAATCCCAGCCAATTCCAGTTCTGCAAGAGAGCAGCAGCAGCGGCGGCGGCGATGAAGGGGGGAAGCAGGCGCCTTGCACTGGTGCTGGGGACCTGAGAAAGGGGAGTGGAAAGGAGAGCCCCATCCAAGCAACGCCCTTTTTCTCCCAGCCTTTCTTTCTTTCTATTTGGCTTTAGCTACTCCTTCCCGGCTCCCCCCTCGCACCCCCAGGCTGGGCTCTGCCTGCAGGAATTTACAGTCTGCTCTGGAGGAGCAGGGCCAGTAGCCATGGAGACTGCTTCCCTGGGAGCAGGGAGGTCAGGCGCAGACCATGGGTGATCAATGCATCAATGCAAAGCCCCCCGCAACCCCCAGACCCACCCCGCGCCTTGCAGCCCCTTGGCCCGTAGGGCTCAGGGTGGTGGTGGTGGGGAGAGGGGGAGGCATCCGCCGTGGGAGGGAAAGAAAAGGGGAAGGAGAAATAAAAGTAGAGGGGGGAAAAGGGGGAAAAAAAAGAAAAAAGAAAACAAGCACACAATAAAAGAAGGAGTTTGCAGATGCCGCGACCTGCGGCACGGGGGCTCAGCGGCTGCGGGAATGGTTGGGCCGGTGGGAGAGCTCTGTGAGAGACGGGGAGGGAGGACTGGGAATAAGGGGGAGGGAAACACAGTGAGGAAAATGCGCTTTTCTGAGATATTTTGGGTTTTTTTGGGTTGTATGCAGGAACCTCTCGCAGCCTGGCCCTGCACGTAGGACCCCACATGGCCCTGCGCCTGCATTCCCTCCCCTGGCATCTGCTTCTAGGGGTGCAGAGGGGACCTGAGGCAGAGACCCCACCGTGCTGCCCCCATGGGCTCATGTGTCCCCTTTTGTCCTGGCAGACCCTGAAGATAAAAGAAATGGGTCTGAAAACTACAGAGAATGCACAGCTAAGCCAAAGCACCCGCTGCCATCCTGCCGGGGAAAGGAGAGGGTGCCCAGCAGAGCAGGAAGGTACTGAGGAGTCCCTGATTCTATTTGTGGTTTCCTTACAGAAACAAAAAATGCATAACCCCTGGGTTGCCATCACGGTGTGCAGGGCCCTGCTCTGGAAGAGGTCTGCACAGCCAAAGGCAGCAGCCAAGAGAAAGCTCACACTGTGCCATCATGCACCCCCCTGGGTGCTGCCACCAGCAGGATCTCCATGCAAAGTGTCCAGTCCTAAACTGGGCTCCTACCAGAGCAGTGAGTAGTAGCTGACCCCTACCAGAGCAGTGAGAAGACCATGGTCAGGTGCAGGGCAGATGCACAGAGATGAACAAGAAACCCAGCAGGGCAGCACTGCTCCTATGGGATGGGTCCAACAACTCACTGTGCTGAAACCAGTGACAGACCCTCAGCCCCACAGCATTGCCTGGGAAGGGGTGAAGAAGCAGCAGTGGTTATTAAAGCTATAGAAAATAGCACCGTATAGAGAAATATGAACACAGAGCTGTCACTGTTGGGATGCATCGGGAGAGGTGCGATGCATAAGCAAGAACTGGAAACTCCCTGCTCCTCTGTTCCAGGTCCCCACATCCCACCCCATCATCTTTTGTCATCACAACCAGAGGAAAACTATACACTCCTTTTTCTTCCTTTTTTTCTTTTTTTTTTTTTTCTTTTTTTTTTTTCCTAACCTGTCTTCTAAATCTGGAGACCGATCTTAAGGCACGAGGGACAAGACCTTCAGCTATGTTGATTTATAACCGAGCTTCTAAATTACAGGTTTACGCATTAGTATAAACACCCATAAACCAGCCCTAAATACACAGTATCGTATGTAATCAAAACGCCAAAACACCGGTGGCCACGTGACAGCACAGGGGGAAGGATGGGCTCAGAGTGCCTCGCTGGGGCTGGCACCAACCAAGTACTCCCAGTTAAACCAGTTCATTGTACTGGGAGTGGGTCTTGCCCTGAAAGAACCATTGGGAGCCAAGGGGCTGAGCCCCACGTATGGCTCATGCAATGGGGTTGGGACAGGCTGGTGTTGAGAAACTCACTCAGAAGTCTGGATTTCTTCCCAAACTTTGCCACCTGGTTTCCATGGTTGGAAGAAAAGAACTGCCACTGGAAAAGCCACGGGGTTTGTGCAGATGAAGATCCCCAGGATCACATGGGAAGGATGCAGGAAGGCTCGTGAAAATCAGCCCCAGTGCTTGGGGTTCAACCAGCTCCTGCCACTGGGAGCCCTTCCAAGGCAACTGGGACAACTGGGCAAGGCGGAGAGCATGGCTGCTGTGGGACATGCACGTGTGTGCGTTTGGGAAGGCAGGGCTCTCCTCCCCACCGCCTCCGCTCCCCGTGGAGCACTTCTGGGCAAAACCCATTTGCTTTGGCTTCACGTAGGGCCAGAAGATTCGAGTCCATTGTGCTGAGGCACTGAAGAGCCGGCGTGGAATTGTCGACCATGCTGAAATGGTTACATGGGGAGTAATGAAAATTTACTGCACCCTGCTCGGGTCGCCAGCCAAGAAATAAAAGCAAAAGATCACAACAGGCATTTTTTTAATTTGAGGCAAAATTAAAAAAAGAAAGGATCCGCACTTAGAAAATAACAACCACATCCACAGATCAAAGCAGCTGTTCTCCTCTCATTCTGGGTTTTAAGAGATTTCTGCAGCTACGGGGATGTTTACACAGGGAGAGAGATACATACATTGTGCTGTCTTGATGCTGCCTCTCCCCCCTTCATCTGGCAAAACATTCCCTGGGAGGCAATATGAGGTCATTCTTAGACCCTGCGTTGTTTTCCTCAAGCTGCAAGCCTTGGGGGCAAGAGGCAATTCAGTTCCCATTAGCAAACGCACATTTGCGCTTGGAACCTTCCCATGCACATCTTGATGAGGAGCTTGGGGCCGGTGACAGGACCTGCCCTCACCAGCTCCTCATGGCACCCAGGGGGTCACCAAACCACGGGAAGGGGCTGTGGGGCCAGGGAGCTGCCTGGCACCTCCTGCAGCCCAGCCTCCCTGTTGCCGTGGCTTCCACTGCTTTTATTACAAGTGGGGCTGCGTGGCTCTGAGGAGCGCTAATGGGCTGTAAAAGTCATTTCCCCCTCTGTCTTCTTGTCTCATGACTATTGGGAGCTTGCATCCTGCTCCAAAGCCCATGCAGAGATGGAGGCTGTGGGAAGGTGCCAATGGATGCTCCCTTTGTCTCCTTGCATCCACCCGCTGGTGCTCCATGGGCAGCACCGCTTTCTCCAAAGCCAAGTCTGGCTAATGATTCCCCCCCCCTATGCTATCAGTCTGAAACCAGACTTAGCACGAATGTAATGTCGCACACTATAAATGAGCCACATCTTCAGCACTGCCTGTGCATATTTGCACGATGATGGAGCCAGAAGGGATTTCTGAGGCTGTGCAAGGAACTGCTGTGAAGTAATAGTGGACACAAAGCTCCCGTAAAGGACCTCAGCGCATGCAGAACCAGCTATTGAATCAGGTAGGGGCACTGTAGGAAGAAGACGCCAACGGATTAAGCCACGATGCTTAGGAGTACAGAGAGCCCAGGAGGACCAAAGTCACAGCCCTGCCATCGCCCTGCACTGAAGGGTGCTGGTGGTGCCCCCAGAAAGCAGCTGTCGTGATGTTCCAACGCCCCAGCGAGGGGTGTGATCTCCAATTGGGAACAGAATGGACTATTTTTAAAAACAGCAAGGAAAACACTTCGTTCCCAGCAAGAAGCTGACAGCTCAGCTCATCTCCGTTGCAAGCTCCTGGGCACAGCGCTCCTTTCCCCAGCCCACCATTTCAGCACGCTGCTCCGAGGGGACGAGAAGCACCAGGTCCAGCTATGTGACTGCCTGGCCTCCGCCCCCCCCCCCCGGGGGGGGGTGTGGGGGGGGTCGTAGATCTTCCCAAAACGACGTCCTTGTTTGTCATTCCCCCCTTTGCAGCAGGAGAAGCTGACACACGCGGAGGTGAGGTGACTTACGCGGCGTCACCGGGAAGGTCGATGGCAGCGCCAGGAATAGCCCCGTTCCCAGCTAACCACTAACCACACTTATCCCAGAATAAGGGTCCCTTTTTCCAGCTGAATTTATAACAGCTTGCTAAGTGACATAAGCCCTTACAGAAATAGGCAGGCTTTTATTCCAGAATAATTACTGGGAAATCACACTACAGCGTGCAGGGGGTGTAATTACACCGGCGTAGCTGCTGCTGGTGGATCGTACCCCACGCACCGGCAGCTCCCTACAGCTTTTACCATGTCCTGCTTTTCCATGAATCATAGAATCATTAAGGTTGGAAAAGACCATGAAGGTCACCAGCCATTGGCTCACCCCCTCCATGCCCTCTGACCACATCCCTCAGTGCCACATCTTCACGGTTCTGAATATCCTCTAGGGTCCCCACCACCTCCCTGTGCCAATGCTGACCGCTTTTTCCAAGGAGAAATCTCTCCTAATATCCAATCTGAACCTCCCCTGGTGCATCACCTACAGATCATCACCGGGCAGAAGGCAGCAGATCTCTCCTTAAAGTTTTATTAATCATATTTCCCACTGAAGCTACCCAACAACAGACCTTCCAGCTCCTGCAGCCAACAGCTGTCTTTTGTTACCCCAGACCGATTCAGCAATGCAGTGTGTCTGCTTCCAGTTCATCTCCAGCACAGTTTTGGAGCAGGTGTTTTATTTTAAACACATGTTTACGTCCCACCAGGTAAAATCCAGCTCAGAGTTCAGATTCTGCTGAACTGAGGCCCGAAAAGCATCTCTGCCACGAGCTGTTACAATACATCCTCTTTAATGACCTGCAAAAGCAAACGGATGGTATTCATCAGGCGCTGATAGGTCCAGGTATCCATTGAGAGCACCATCTGCCAAGAGCAGAGCTCACAGCTCAGAGCGTACCGCAGGAGGGCAAGGGTTAACTCGGCACCAGTGACACTGCTTTCACTCCAGGACCCAGATGCGTGCGTTTAAAAGTAGCACTTCTCTCCTTAAAATAGTTTATGATTCTTAGTCGAGGATAAATCCAACGCCCCCGAGCAGAAGGAGACCTATTAATTCCTGAGTTTTTTC